TAGTTGAGAAGGGAGTAAATTATATACTGCCTTGCACTTTGAACATATCACTGATTTTCTGGCCTTACAGGACATCTTCCAGTGGGTCCACTGTGACAATTCACTTGACCATGAGTACTTTATCATTACTTACTATTATAATCACTGCCTAAGCACTTTACATAAAATAAGTTCATCTTTTAATTTGCTGTGGCCAGAAACCTTAGCATTGTCTTTGAGTCTCTCCAACTTTATATCCATTAGCCACTTCTCAGAGTCTGTATGTACATATATCCGCTTCTGACCACATCTCAACACCTCCGCTACTGCCGCTCCATTCACGTCACCATCTACTCCTACCTCAGTTTTGGCAAGAGATTTTTTTTCTGACCTTTCTTTCTGTCCTTTCTCCCCTTCAACCTACTCTCAACCCAGTGGTGAGTATGATCCTATTAAAATGAAGGTCTCATCTCACTTTGTTCAATGTCCTTACCTCCAGGATCCTATAGGAGATGGCTTCTCATTCCTCGTCTGACTTCTCTTAATTGTCTTTCCCTTGTTTCCTGTGGCAGCAAACATGCTAAGTGTGCTTCCTCTGCCTATTCTGTGTTATCCCCACACATACCTCACTCCCTCACCTATTTTAGAGTTTTATTTACCTGCCACCTTCTCAGTAAGGTCTGTCCTGACCATGTTACTTAAAATCGCAAGCCCTTAACTTTTCCTACCTGTCTGTCTTTCCTTATTTTTTCTAATGTGTTTATCACCTGCTAACAATATGTCTGTTTCTTATTCATAGTGTTTTCTCTTATCCCTCACATGGGGTACACTTCCTATATGCAGAGATTTTTGTCTGAGTGTTCTTTGCTTTATCTCTAGTACCTAGAACAACACCTGGTCATAATACATACTAAGTATTTGTTGAGTGAATGAATGAACAAATGAATAAACAAGCAAACTGCCAATCCCAGCCCTTTTTCTAGGCTTTATTTTTCCCTCAATGCACATGTGCTCTCTATAAAGGAAGGGTGTTACTACTTTTATGATAGCTTCTTTTTCTTCATTTTTAAAGTTTTTATTACAGTTTTATTATACCGTACATTTCACCTACTCAAAATATACAGTTCATTGATTGTCAGTATGTTCGCAGTTGTGCAGTCATCACCGTAGTCAATTTTAGAACATTTTCATCACCCCAAAAGAAGCTCCGTAGTCACTAGTGGTCATTCCGCATTCCCTACCCCTTAAATCTCTCCCTCTCCAGTCCTAGGTAACCACTAATCTACTTTATTCTCTATAGATTTACCTATTTTGGATATTACATATAAATGGAGTCATACAATGTGTGGTCTTTCGTGGCTGGCTTCTTTTTACTTAGCATGTTTTCAGAGGTCATGTTGTAGCATGTATGAGTACTTCATTCTTTTTTGTGGCTGAGTAATATTCCATTGTATGGATATACCACACTGATCCATTCATTAGTTGATAAACATTTGTGTACAGGTGTTTGTATGGATATATATTTTCATTTTTCTTGGGTATATTCTAGTAGTGGAATTGCTAGGTCATATGGTATCTATGTGTTTACCCTTTTTAAATTAATTAATTAATTAATTATTTTTAAAGATTTTTATTTGAGAGAGAGTAGAGCAAGAGACAGAGATTGAAAGCATGAGTGGGAGTGAGGGGCAGAGGAAGAGGGAGAAGCAGACTCTCTGCTGAGCAGGGAGTCCAACATGGAGCTCGATCCCAGGACCCTGAGATCATGACTTAAGCTGAAGGCAGACACTTTGACTGAGCCACCCAGGCACCCTTACCCTTTTTTAAGAAACTACTAAACTGTTTTCTAAAGCAGCTACACCATTTAAAAATCCCTCAAAAAGTGCATGTGGGTTCCAATTTCTTTTCTCCACGTCCTTTTGATTCTGGACATCCCAGTGCGTATAACGTGTTATCTCATTGTGACTTTGATTTGCATTTCCCTGATACTTAGTTATGTTGAGAATCTTTTCATGTGCTTATTGGCCATTTGTATATCTCCTTTGGAGTAGTCTATTCAGATCCTTTGCTCATTTTTAAGTTGGGTTGTCTTTTTAAAATCAAGTTGGAATAATTCTTTTTTGGGTACTAGATCCTTATCAGATTATATGACTTGCAAATATTTTCTCCCATTGTGCAGATTATCTTTCTCTTTCATGATAGCATTCTTTGAAGCACAAAAGTTTTTAATTTTGATGAAATTCAATTTATGTATTTTTATGTGGCTACTTATGTTTTTTTGGTATCATAGCTAAGAAAACTGCTTAATCTAAGGTCTAGATTTACACCTACAGTTTCTTCTAAGAGTGTTACAGTTTTGGCTCTTAAATTTAGATCCCCTTTACTTTTTGTATGGGATCACAGGTAGGGGTCCAGTTTTATTCTTTTGCATGTGGATATCCTCTTGTCCCAGCACCATTTGTTAAAAAGACTTATTCTTCCTTCCCACTGAATTGTTTTGGCATCCTTATCAAAATCAGTTGGCTTTAAATTTAGAATTTATTTCTGGACTCTCACTTCTGTTCCATTTGTTTTAACTTTTTATACATTGCTATCAGAAGGCTCTGAGGCAGATGGTTTCTTTTGAGCTGTATTCATCCTGCCTAAGCTGTGTTATTAGCTGGGAGCCTTGTAGTAATAATGGTTTTCTGGAAGGCTGTTTACTTGGGAAAAGCTTTCAGGAAGGACACGTTTTAAAGCATCTTAATTGCAGGCTTGAGGTTTTCCTTGCCTCTGTGGAGTTATAAAGCTCAGTATTTGTAATCATGATTTTCTGTCTTTAGTCTTCTTGGCTTTCCTCATAGCTCTCCATTTTGAATTCCTATTTTCCTCCTAGGGACCTCTTTTGAGCCCCCATGGAATTTGAAAGCAGTGGTCAAGTGAGTTGCATACATTTGCATGGACTTAGAATAAAACCCTGTCCTGATCAAGTATATCTGTAGTTGACCAGCATTCCAGCATGTGGCCTGAAAATAATGGGGCCAGCTGGCAGTCGTCTTGTGGTTTTGAGGCCACGTTGGACCACACAGGTACCTTTGCATCCCAGGCTATTAGATTGCCAGGAATAACCAGGGTATAGGTAATTTAGTGTGTCTGCTTTTCTCAGTCATTCAGCCAGGTAGTCGTGAACCCCTATCCCGGCATGTATTCTCTTAAACTCCTAAAACACAGATTTAATCATCATTCAAGGGCCTGTGGTGTATTAATCCATTAATCATGTAATTGCTCTCAAAATAACACTTTCCTGTTGGTCTAACAGTTGTGCTGAGTTCTTCCAAGATACATTTCATTTGGGTGATAATCATGTAATTTCTTCAGAATTATAGAATAATCCATTCATTATCTATGCTTGCTGTGGTGGCCATTAATTTAATGAATATTTGCAGGGTGCCTGGGTGACTCAGTCGGTTAAGCATCTGCCTTCGGCTCAGGTCATGATCCCAGGGTCCTGGGATCGAGTCCTGCATCGGGCTCCTTGCTCAGCAGGGAGCCTGTTTCTCCTTCCGCCTGCCATTCCACCTGCTTGTGCTCTCTCTCTCTTTCTGACCAAAAGAAAAAAAAAATTAACGACTATCTGCATGCCATCAGTGTGCTAGGATCCTGTGGGGTATTATCTCCTCAGTGTATTGTCACCCTTAGCACACTTGTTCGGCCAGGCATTTATATGTGAAATCACTTACCTTTGGGATTGCCTTATTAGGGCCTTATAGGTTTACCTCCATACAAGTTAGTCCATGATTGTACTTAGCCAAACATGCTAACAGTCACAAACTGTTATTCATCCATTTATTCAATAAATGTTGAATGAAAGCCTCCTGTTATGCCAAATGCTGTGATTGCTGCTGACCAAACAAAGGTGAGGACTGACAGCCTTCTCTATCCATAGACCAGGCATCATAAAATGATGTTGCTTAGAATCCTACAACTGCATTAGTGGATTTTTCTTACATAACACTTCGTACTTTGAGAACACATAATAGTCACCTACTCATTAAAACAACCAAAAAAATCTTAGGTGCCTACTATGTGCAAAAGGTGTTTGACTTGTGAAGATGAGGAACAGCTTCTGTGGGGAAGCGACAGTTAAGCCAGCAAGGCTAAGGGACAGTGGAAAATCATTCCATAATCGAGAGGGCAGCATGTGCCAGAGGGACCAAAGGCGGCTAGTATGGCAGGAAACCAGCACAGGTACAAAACAAGACTTAGACAGCACCAGGCCGCCACTTTTACCCAGCTTACGAACTAAGTCTTAATGAAACGGGTTAGCTCTTATTCAGATTTGATTTCTAGATAGAAATGTTGAGTTTTAGAGTTCCTTCTTATTTAGATCATTGTTTCTTCAACTTTACTGTGCTTAAGAATTAACTAAAGGACTTGTTAAAGCAGATTTTTGGGTCTCCACTCCCAGAGATTCTGTAAGTCTGGATGGTGTTCAAGAATTTGAATTTCTATTAAGTTTGCAGAAGTTACTGGTGCTGCTGGTCCTGGCCTTCCCATTTTTACTTAGAAATATATTCCTAGATTTTCAGTATCCTTTCAGTTCCTTAGAGTAACAAAATTAATTCATCTGTCTTGTCATTGTTTTCCTTGTGTATAACTAGTAAAGGATCATTTTTTAGTTATATAATTATTTTTCTTTTTTCAGGAGCTGTATTTTATAGAAGTTATTTTAAGTCTATATATTTATACTTACCTGTGTACCTTATGTATGTGTGTATATATGTATATATGTACACACAGGACTCTATGAGGTGATGTGGTAACAAACCGTATTGGAGAGGCATAGCCCCAGAAATCAAGATACTTAAAATCAAAAAGAAATCGTGACTAACAAAAACTTGTAAGAAGTTACTAGTCCTACCTTGACAGCTGTTGAGATTTAAAATTTAGAACAGTATCATTTGGGATTTGGAGAGAGTTGGTGTTTCAGTAAGAGTAAGCCTACATATTATTGAATCCGTTTTTTATTTTTGTTTTTCTAGATCTAATTACTTGTTTAGACACTGCATCCAGTTTTTTGGAACCTGAGTTCAGGTATGACGATATTTGTGACTTTTTTTCCCCTTAAATGTTACTCTTCAGTACTCCATCATTATTCTTATACACTTAGGTTTAATGTACATTAATATATGTGTCACAGGTGTGACAGATAATCATTGTTGTAAGACGTCAATAAATTAGAGCTTATTTAAAGCCATTGAGTTACCATATTTAAATTTTGCTTTAATTGTAGCATTTGGATCTTCTCTATAATGAAAGTATAATTTCAGTATACTTCAAAAGTAGAACTAGTTGCTTTTCAAAATCTGGCAAAACTGCTAATGAAGTTAGAGGAGCTAACTTTTTTTTTCCTCAAAAAAGGGAAGAGAACGATTTAGGCTATGACAGAATTCTTCAGTGTTCTTGCCCAAGCAGCATTTTTACTACTGTTTGCCTGCTTTATGTCCTTGTCTCTTGTCTGGACTGGGATTCCCTTCTATTTGATTTTCCATTTCTAACCTTTGCTGGCTTTTATTCTGCCACTCACATTGCTGCCAAGTTTCATTCTAAAATAAATGCCTGATCATTCCCCTACTTTAAAATCTTCAGGAGCTCCTTATTATTAAGACAAAATGCCATCCAGATTTCTTAGCCTAGGTTTCAGGATCCTTCCCAGGTAGTCCTTGGATCATTTTTCCAGTCTCATCTTATGTACTTATGGATTTTTTTTTTTAAGATTTATTTATGTATTTATTTTAGAGAGAGAGGGAGAGAGTGAGCCTAAGGGGGGGAGGGTCAGAGGGAGAAGCAGACTCCCCACTGAGCAGGGAGCCCGATGCTGGACTCGATCCCGGGACTCCAGGATCATGACCTGAGCCGAAGGCAGACGCTTAACCTACTGAGCCACCCAGGTGCCCCTGTACTTATGGATTCTTGACACTGCTCTGAGCTCTCAGAACTTTTACCCGGAATTGCTTTACTCCTCTCTGCTTGGCAGCTTTATTCTCATCTTCTAAGACTGGTCTCACTCACCTCCCCCCAACTTGCTACCGTTCCTCAAAGAGCAACCTTTATTTTGTCTTCAAGTATAGTTCTCTGTCTGTGGGATGGGTGTGCTCGTCAGCACTTGCAGAGGATCCCGGTGAGCCGAGGTGTCTCAGCCCTGCCACCGGGTCTTGGAGCCTCTGCTCTCAGCTCCAGCATCCCCACCCCCAGGCAAGCTGCCGTTTGCTCTTGCCTGGGCCGCTGCGCCGCCAGCCCACTGAGGTCTCAGCTTCTCCTCAGGGTTCCTTCCAGTCTCTTTCTTCTCGGGAGCCCGAATAATCTTTTTCAGAAATGTGTGTGTAAGCCTTAAAATCCTTTATTGACTTCCCATTTTTACTTAGAAATATATTCCAGACTCTTCGCCCTAGCTCACAAGGCTTCTGCACGATCTGACTCCTGCCCACCTCTTCAACCATCTCTCAAACTACTGTTACCTTTTAGTTTTACAGTATCACTGTACTCTGCCTGCACTGGTCATCCCAGTTGAAGACACACACAGGCCACCTCACCTCATGGGCACACTGTTCTGTCCATTAGGCTGCATTTCCCTCCCTTCACTGAGGCTTTGCTTCCTCAGAGCCCCATTTCCTGACTTTGGCAGTGCAGAGCCCTGTGTAAAAGCATCGACTCTGGAGCCCATATGCCACTTACCAGTTATGGGACCTGGGCACACTGTTTCTCAGTTTCCTCATCTGTAAAATGAAGATAATACTAATACCTACCATTAGGGTTCTTGTGTGGGTTCCTGAGGTACTCAGAAGGCTGCCTGGCACAAAGTAAATTTGCTGAATGTTTGTGTTACTTTTATTAAGCTTGCTTCCTCTGGGTTATTTCATGGAGTGTCTTTTCTTCGTAGAATCATAATCTGATTAATGACTCATTGAAGTATTAGTTTAATGTCTTCCCCCTGACCTCTGGAGCGTAAACCCAGGGAAGACTGGGCCATATTTATTTGGTTGATGTTTGTAAACCCAATACCTAGCACAGCCCAGCACTCAACAGAAAACATACTAGACATTTGGGTAAATGTGTTGAGTGGGTGGGTGGGTGAGTGAGTGAATACATGACTGAATGCCAAACATTTTTAAGTCACATGTGATAAGAAGTGGGTTGGTGAAATAAATTGTGGTTTATCCACAAAATAGAATAGCAGGTAGCTGTTAAATATGAATAGGTCTTATAGTAAAAATATGTCTGCCATTCATTATGAAGTAAAATAAAGCAGTATGTAGACTATGACACAGTATTTTAAATATGTGGGTGAAGATGTTTTATATGGATGGATGGAATAAAGTGTGAAAGGGCTTTTTAGAAGTAGTGCTTCTCAGGGTAGTGAGATTATAGTATTTGAATGAACTGAGAAATGAATATGTGATTTTTTGTTGTTGTTCTTTTCCCCCAGTAAGTACAGAACTATTTTATACCCTTTACCTTGTTTTTATTTCACAGTAAGTACTGCCCAGCTGGTTGTCTGCTTCCTTTTGCTGAGATATCTGGAACAGTCCCTCATGGATATAGAGATGTAAGTCTAAGCAACATAGACTTATGTTCAAGCTGTGATAGAACTTTTCATTTTTTTAACTCCAGAATATGTTGATGTACCTTGTGTGTATCTTTCGTCTCGATTTATTTTCTAGGAAGTATTTCTTTTTATCATGGATGTGATGTTTTATTCTTCTTCTTGTGCTACAAGTCTGTACTCTGTTACCACATCGGTAATCCTGTGTTTACTGAGAAAACTGCCCCAGTCAACTCATTTCTTGAGGAAGCCTAAGTGTCTTGTTCATAAATTATCAAAAGAAAATTAAATACTAATCTTTTGTTTTTCCTTTCCTCAAGTCCTCGCCCTTGTGCATGGCTGGTGTGCACGCAGGAGTAGTGTCAAACGTTTTGGGTGGCCAGATCAGTGTTGTAATTAGTAAAGGTATCCCATACTATGAGAGTTCTTTGGCCAACAACGTCACGTCTGTGGTGTAAGTATATATGTTATTGGTCATATAAGGAAGGGTGTGGGGCAGGGGTGGGACAGCAGCTAGTTAGACCTCAGCAACATCACTGTTAACGGCGTTCAAGAAATAACATTTGTGTGATTAGCCCTCCCATTTTTGTGTGCTCCTTGTCCGCATGTACTGAAGAGGACAGGCAGGGTCGCACCGGGAGTCATTTAGAAGGATGATTTGTTCTTTTCTGAATGTTGAAAATGTCTAGAGTAAAGGTCTAAAAGTCTGTGGCCAAATTTTTACTGCATTTTAAAGATTAGAAGGCATAACTGCTCTGTTTCTTACAGCCAGTGTGACCTAGGATGGATTGAGGATAACTGAAATACTCTTGAATATAAATTAAATTTTGACGTAAATCAGAGGTAGTCGTATTATGAATCCTCCTCTCCTCCAAAGAGAATATTTGAAGAGTGTATTTTTCTAGTCACTACAGTGATCTGTTTTATGAAACATAGACTAGGCATCAAAAGCAGGAAAAGTTGAAACATTAAATAGAAATGTAATACTTGGAATCTGTTTTAGTAAATCTTGCCTGTCACATGGGCTCAGTCCTCTAGACAATACTAAGCCTAACTGAAACCAGCTTCTCTTCAGAGGTTCTAGGCCAGTTTTCATTCAGAAGAGGAGAGCATGATCCATATCCATGACTGTGATAAAACAGGAGTCACCGAACTTTTCCTCTAAAGGACCAGCTAGCAAATATATTAGGCTTTACGGGCCACCCGTCCCTGTCACTTATTCTTTCTTGGTTTATATAAGACTCTTTAAACGTGTAGAAACCATTCTGCGCTCACTGGCCATACAAAACAGGCCATCCATGAGCGAGCTATCATTTGCCCATTCCTGGTATAGAGTTAGCAACCTTTCCTTCTCTTGGTTTCTTCTAGATGATTTTATGCAGACCTTATCATTCCTTTCCCCTCTTCTGCCTTTAGAAATAATTTTTTTTGTCAGTTCTTTCTTTCATACTTTAAGAAAAAAAGAAGGACAGGTTGCATCCACTTGTAATAATGCTTTGAATGTTTTGTGCTGAAGCAGGAGCAGACACTGATGATTTTATCCCCCCCAGGTTTTTTAGAGTCCTTGGTAAACTGGTCATGTGTCCCATGGCTCCATTCTCCCCAACTGCATTTACTTGCCTGTTACTTTGAAATCCAGATGCGTGTGGCATTGTAACACTGAAACTTGTTCTTAGCTGTTTATATCCTATAACAGATGCAGTCTCTCCTGTTTGTAGCCAGCTTTTTTTCCCTTTACCCCCAGGAAACTTAAGCCTCATTCTCTGGGAATTACAGTGTACTTGCAACAAAAGCAAATGATGCAGAGGAGTTTGAGGAATGAAAGATAAATAAGTACATATTAAAGGTTATGTGGGCATACTTGCACATTTCATGTATGAAACAGGCACTAGATACTTGTAGAAAATTGTTTCTGCTGATTTCAGAAGTTGTTCTGCTTTGAAATGAGACTTTTTTTGGCTAAGAACAGCATCAGTTGTCAAATATGTGGCCATAGAATATCCTTAGTTCTTTATACAGTAAAACAAAAACAGAAGAAAAAGTTTTACTAAGACAAATATGGGGAAGTCAATATATGAGTGTCACCAAGAACAACTTTTCTGTCTTTCAGGGGACACTTATCTACAAGTCTTTTTACATTTAAGACAAGTGGTAAGCCTCTCATGGACTTTATAACTTATTATAATTTGTGTAATAGTTAATATTTTATAAACTATCATGCAATATGCCAATTGCTGTTTTGTTTTGTTTTTGCACATTCCTATATGTCACGATAATATAATGGGTGGAATAAACTGGAGGTTTTATATTAATAGGGAAATGATCATGTAAGCAAGGAAAGTCACTTAGGAAAGTTGATTTTTTAATATGTCTGAAGGAGTAATTAATTCAACAGAAAATACTTATTGAGTGCCTTTGATTTGTCAGGCACAGTCCTGGTGCTAGTGAAACAAAAGTGAGCGGAAAGAAACAAAATCCTCCTTTCTTGGAGCTTAAATACTGGTATTGAGAAATTGACAGTAAACAGTGGATAAATAAATTACTACATATGATATACTCTTTATAATATTATAGAAGGTGTAGAAAAATAAGGAAAGAGGATAGGCAATGCAGGAGGGACTGGTCTGGAGTTTTAAGTGGGGTCACGGTAGGGCCTCATGGAGAATGTAACATCTGAGCAAACACCTAATGGCAATAGGGAGTGAGTCATTCACTGGTCTGGAGATAGTGTCCCAGGGAGAGGATAATGTATTGCCATTAAATTGATGGTTATTGCTTGTGAATAAATATGTATGTACATTGCCTGATGAGACACAAAGACATGGACCCAAGAAACATTTGCCTACTTTTGAAATTCCTCTATTACAGTATATTACTAGCATAGTGTATGTTAATTGCATGTACAATAGAAAGTTTCCATTGAGCAAATAATACAGATTGTGAATTTTTATCTGGAAACCAAATTACTGTCTTTTTTCTTTCAGGTTGTTATGGAACACTGGGGATGGAATCTGGCGTGATTGCTGATCCTCAGATAACAGCATCATCTGTGCTGGAGTGGACTGACCACACAGGCCAAGAGAACAGCTGGAAACCCGAAAAGGCCAGGCTGAAGAGACCTGGACCTCCTTGGGCTGCTTTTGCCACTGATGAGTATCAGTGGTTACAAATAGATCTGAATAAAGAAAAGAAGATAACAGGTTAAGAGACATAATTTTCTAGAATGATTTATAGTTCTGATTTTGTTTGGAAACCTGATGACATCTAAGATTTTCATAGAAAATTAGGTCACCGCAGATTTAATTGTATGGTTTTAAGTTCTCTTTACTGGTGTTAAATATTCCTGAAGGTGGCTTTATAAAACATGGCCGAGGAAAGAAGTTGGTATTTGATTTTTATTAGCTTTTCTTTTTCATTGTAATAAGATTCTTTAAAGGTAGTGTTTCAATTAAGTGATCTTGACATTTGAAATAACCATCTCTTAGAGTCATTAAAAGAAATTTATATTCAAGGAGTTCATTTTAAGTGCTATAAATAATATTCTTCATGTGCTGAATACAAATTTATTTGGAGCAGTTTATCAAATGGTCAGAATAATTTATTAGAATTGGGTTAGGTAATTTTTTTAAAGATTTATTTTGATATGGTACTGGAAAAAATAATTGTTTTAATCCATTCATTCCCAGGGAGTCATTGTTACTTGGTAGGTGAGATATATTTTACAGTGATATGAACACAAGCTGTCAAAATAGAATAGTCCTTTCCTTATGTGCACCCATAATTTTTGGCACTTTTTTTTTTTTTAAAGATTTTATTTTTTGAGAGAGAGAATGAACAGTGGGAAGGGACGGGGTGGGGGGGAGAGAGAGAGAGAGAAGCAGGCTCCCCGCTGAGCAGGGAGCCCAGTGCGGGACTCGATCCCAGGACCCTGGGATCATGACCTGAGCCGAAGGCAGACGCTTAACTGACTGAGCCATCCAGGTGCCCTAATTCTTGCATCTTTACAAGGGAACAAAACCAAGGATTTAGTTGCTGTTATAATGAAACCTTGCACTTAGAGATGGTAACATGCTTTTGGCAAAAATGTTTTAACAGTGTACTTTAGGTGTTTGTGCTTCAATGCTGAACAGACTTTAAGGATCAGACCATGTGCACTAATGAAGGCAACTTTCCATTCCCCAGGCATTGTAACCACTGGCTCCACCATGGTGGAACACAATTACTATGTGTCAGCTTACAAAATTCTATACAGTGATGATGGACAGAGATGGACTGTCTACAGAGAACCTGGTGTGGAGCAGGATAAGGTAAAATGATTGCCAGGGTATTTTAAAAAATGGGCCTTTGCCAAGAATCACAGAAGCTCTCCTGTGTGATGTTCAAGTTAGCTATCATTTGGTCTTTGTGCTCTTCTGGTTATTTTAGGCTGTGTTGGTTATTAGCCTTACTCTTCTAACTATAGTTAGGAAATTCTCAGTGGTTCTAGGTCCCTTTTGATGATTGTTAACATTTTTAACTCAATTGTTTAGGTACTTTATTAAAATATTCTAAAAAGGAGGGGTACCTTGCTGGCTCAGCCGGTATAGCATGGGACTCTTGATCATGAGTAATGATCAGGGTCATGAGTTCAAACCCCACGTTGAGTGTAGAGTCTACATGAATGAATGAATGAATGAATGAATGAATGACTAATTTTCAGTAAGTGGTGATAACTTACTAAAAAAAAAAATTCTAGAAAGGAACTTGTAATTTCTTGTCTTAAGTTTTTCTTGTTAATCCACAGAATGATGGAGAGCCTAATTTGTTCCCAGATTTCTTCTATGTAGACAAGGGGGACAAAAGACAAAAGCTAAAGGCAAAAGTGCATTATAGTGTTGGATATAGACTTGAAAGGTCATTTCAAGATCACCTTACCAAATTTTGTCTTAGAAAACTTCTGTTTTTTCCTACCTGAAGAATTTCCTTAACTTCTGTGTTAATTATCAAATTGTTGTTTTAGTTAGGAGACAGTGATAATGCAGGGATGCTCCAGAGCAGATGATAAGGGGTGGGGAGTAGGGAGAAGTGGCTGTCCTCTAGATACCACTTTCACCCAGGCTCCTGGCCCATGATCCACCGCAAGACCTTGTAACTGGGGGAGTCCTTGTCCTCGAGGAAAGTAGATTTCTTCTTATCTAGAATTGAAATTATAAGCACAAATTTTTTTAATGAAACTTCCCTGAGTTTTGTTTCAATTATATGATACTATCTGTTCTCTATCATATATACGATTTGCTAATATATCTTCAATTACCACTTTTCTTATCTCTCTATTCAGAAAACTCCAGGGGCTCCTTATAATCTGTCATATGGATCTAAACTCTTCCGTTGTTATTCAAGGCCTTCTTCCCTCTCTTCTGCCTGATATCACATGACCTTCATCTGTGGTGAGGCTCTACCCATTGAAGTAAATAACAGTATTGTCTTTATACCTATCTTCCTTCTGCTTAATAACCCCAAACTTGGCTGCTTTTTACTCTGGGCACATCCATACTTATTTATAGAATATTTATTATACTTGTGGAATATAGTTAATTTTTTAAAATTATAAGAATTATTCATGCTTATATTATAAAAACATCTAGCACCATTGAATTATGTTTCTGAAAAAGACTCTCTTTTGCTGCATTTTTTGAAAGATAATTTCATAAGGTATAGAATTCTAGGTTGATGTTTTTCCCTCCACACTTTAAATCTGCTGTTCCACTGTTTTCTGGTTTGCATTTTTCCAGTGAGAATTCTATCTTTCATACCTTTGTTCTTCAGTATGTAATGTGTCTTTTTATTCCTTAGCTGTTGTTAAGATTTTCTTTTTATCATCTGTTTTAAGCAATTTGATTATGATGTGCTTTTGTGTAGTTGTCTTCATGTTTCTTCTGCTTGGGTTTCTTTGAGCTTCTTGGATCTGTTGGTTATAATTTGCTTCAAATTTGGAAAATTGTAGGCCATGTTTTCTCAAATTTGTTGCCTCCCTAATTCTAATTACATGAATATTATGACTCTTAAAAGATGTCTCGCAGTTTACTGATGCCCTGTTCATTTTTTTTTTTTTTTTTTTAAATCTCTCTCTATGTTCTAGTTTGGAAAATTTTATTGTTTTGCCTTCAAGTTCACTAATCTGTTCTGTAACATCTAATCTATTAATCCTATCCAGTGTACTTTTATCTTCAGTGTTGTACTTTTACTTCTAGATTTTCAGTTTTGGGCTTTTAAAATTTTTTCCAAGTTTCTACTGAGCATGTTTACGCTTTTTTCTGCCCCTAAAACATATGGAATATATAGTACCTCTTTTGATGCCCTTATCTGCTGATTCTGTCTACTTATGTGTGACATGTGGGTCTTTTCATGTTGATGGATAATATGGGTCATATTTTACATACCTGGTAATTTTTTATTGGTTGCCAAACATTATGAACTTTTACATTGTTTGGTGCTAGGTTTTCTATTATTATTTATCTGATTTTGAGCTTTATTCTGGGACATGGGTTACCTGGAATAATTGGAATTGTTTGATCTTTTTAAGGTCTGCATTTTAGCTTTCTTAGGCAGGACGTGAGCAGCTTTTAGTTCTAATTTTTTTTCTGTTAGTACTGTTCCACGTACTCAACCCAAAGTCTCATGTATTATGAGTTTTCTCCACGATATCTGTCGGTAATGTGAACTGTTCCCAACCCTACCTAGCTCTGAGAATTGTTCTGCTGGCTCCTTTCCAGCAGTTCTTTTCCCATCCACAGATGGTTTCTTTACATGCAACTGAAGATTTAAGGGGAAACCCCCCTACAGATCCGAGAAGTCTCTTTTTCTCTCTCTGTGCAGCTATCTTCTCTCCTATACTCTATCTTACAAATTCTAGCTATCTTGGCCTCTCCATCTCTGAGCTCAGTGTCCTCATTTTGGTGAGACCACCAAGGCTCTCTCCGGACAATATTGGGAAAATAGAAAGGCTCACCTCATGTGTTTCTCTTCTCTCAGGGATTAAAGCCCTATGCTGCCTATTGTCCAGTGTTGAAAAACCCTTGTTTCATATATCTGATTTTCAGATGTTTAAGGCAAAGAGTAAACTTAGTCCCTATTAGTCTGTCCTGGATAGAAGTGGAAGTCCTTACACTGAATTATACAGAATACCAGTCTCTTGCCTCACATTAGCCCATCTGCTCCCTTATCTGCCTCCAACTCAAGAGTAATTGGTGTATTCATTTTCACACCCTTTCTAAGCATGCACACGTGCATAAGCACATAGACTGAGACAGCTTTTGGGTTTGTTTTCAGAAGATAGGAATGAATATACAACTTGCTTCATAATATATTGCTTTTTAATAGCGTGCCATATCTGTGTGTGGTAATATCTGTAAAATTTAAGTTCCTTGAGAGTGGGAACTTGGACTTCCATTTCCATCTTTATCCTCATGACTCCTTGCAGACCTTGCTACACACAGGGGCTTATAATAAATGCTCATAGATTATAGCAGATCTTTTTTACTTAGTTTATATAAAATCCTTTTCCTTTAAGGTTTTTTATAAAAATGAAACTGTGGTGTGGAATAAGACCTCAGGGATAGTTTTCATGTCCTAAAGTGATTATTATTCCTGTAACACTAATGTAATAGACTGCAAATATTTGCCTTCATTTTATTTCAGAGTAATAGCTGAGGAAATAATGGGAGTTTACTAGTTTGGAAATTATTATAACTTCAAAACAAACCTTGTAGAAAATGAAGGCTATTAACACGTCTTAGAAGTTTACAATCTAATGCTTTGTGAATCAGCCAAAAGAAAATAGCTACATTTGGACATGACTTAATGGAAGAGTTAAACATTTACTTGCTCTCACATTAACTGATAAAATACAAACCAAACTTTGATTTTAGGCAGGTATCTATTTATTAGTAGCCTTTAGAAACTAACCAGTGATTTGGCCTAAAGGAACAAGGAGGACTTTTCGCTTAATGGAGCCCTAGAGTTCAGTCAGGAGACTCGGACTCAAGTCACTGCTCGGTCATTGACTGGTTATGCAGTCCGTTTACATTCTGGAGCTGCACTTTTCTGGGTTCTGCCTACTTCATGGGGTTGTCATGGAGAACAGCTGAGTTACTTATATGAAAATGCTTTTGTAAATAAGAGCTCTTGCAGTGTTACATACTATCATTATTTGCTTGAAATGGTTGAGGGGATGAAGTAGTCACTTGAAATCGTATTCGTATAATACATATATATAATGCATCCGTTGCTGTTTACTTAGGATCATTAAAATTAGGCAGGCAACAGTGTTTCAGAATCACGTGTGTAGTTTAGATAGCAGCAGAGAATGAAAATGGATAATACAGGAACTGTCTTTATGTAGTTTCTCCAGTAGGTGGAGGTATATTGCTGTTATGCATTCCTTAGTGTATGTTCACTTTCTCTTTTCTGAGAGAAAAAGTATGAGAAGTACACAGTAAAGCATTTCCTCTAAGACCTTGTATGTTCAATTATGCTTTACTTTGAAAATTAATATTTTTAAATAGCTGGTAGTGCCGCAGGACTAGAATTACTCATTTACTACAAGAATTACACTGTCTCACTGCAGCTGAAATATTCTTCTCAAATTGCCAAATTAGCATTTTTGGTATGTTTCAATCATTTTAAAATCATTTTTGTATTCAGTACTCTTAGTTTTTGATGAAGAATGTGCAGCTGCTTAATAGTCCAAATTATGATTAATTTACTTTCTGAGAAATTAATTCTTACGGTCATACTTTACAGATCTCATTTAAGGCCCAAAGCAAAAACCAAAAATATGTTTCAGTGGAACAGTTTAGCCCTGACCTCTGTTGACATAAAGTACCAATTTTTTGTTTTTTAAAGATATTTCAAGGAAACAAAGATTATCACCAGGATGTGCGTAATAACTTTTTGCCACCAATTATTGCACGTTTTATTAGAGTGAATCCTACGCAATGGCAGCAGAAAATTGCCATGAAAATGGAACTGCTTGGATGTCAGTTTATTCCTAAAGGTAAAGCAACAGTATGTAATTTAATTTAAAATGGCTTTGCTATTCTCAGAGAAAATAAGTAGTGATAATATGAGTGTTCGGCTTTTAACTACAATATCTTCTTAAAGAGGATTTTTAAAAGAAATAGTTATCCTATTAAAAAGCCAGTTACCAGAGTGTTTTCCAAGGTTACAAGTGGAAGAAGAGAGCATCGTCAATGAGATAATGAGATGAGATTGCTTTTCAGATCTAGTCTCAATCTTAATTTTTAATCAGGTCCCATGAAGCATAATATTGTACCATTAACACCGATGATTATAACAGTAACCCTAGTCTAAGTGCCTTTTCCTTTGAAAAAATTAAAAGTGGAAGTAACTTCCCTCAGTATTCTAGAATATTTTAATACTTTATTTACTGTTTTATCTCCAGAACCTTCCACAATGCCCCCACATAGTGGGCCCTCCACAAACAGTTATTAAATGATTGAATGAGTAGTATGTCAAGCTGTGATGATACTTCTTAGCTTTAGAGTTTAATGTCCTCCACCTCCTCCGTGTTCTACGAAAATTATTTTAAAACAATTTAATTTCATAAAAAGTGAGAAATCCCAGTAAGTTTGTATGTTTAATGCATAGTATATTTATCCTTCTGGCATATTGCTGTCCAAGATTTAAAATTACTGGGCAGAAATAAGTCCTCTAGGATATGTTGAAGATATTTAAATTACTGTTTTTAGCTATGACTCTTATAAGCAAAATGTATAAACTTTTCTAAACCATTTTTCAAGGTCGTCCACCAAAACTTACTCAACCTCCACCTCCTCGGAACAGCAATGACCTCAAAAACACTACAGCCCCTCCAAAAATAGCCAAAGGTATGCCTTCTTTAAGTGTGAGAATTTGGTATTCCCTGGATTTGTGGTATAATTTTCCATAAATGTATTAAAAGCATCATAAAATAACTTTGTTTTAATCAAATTGATGTAGATAAAAGAATAAAGAGTTACTAAAACTTTTTCCAAGGTCGAGCCCCAAAATTTACTCAACCACTACAACCTCGCAGTAACAATGAGTTTCCTGCACAGACGGAGCAAACAACAGCCACTCCTGATATCAAAAATACTACCGTGACTCCAAGTGTCACCAAAGGTATGCAAATCCAGAAATTAACACCTGTTACATAGTAGCATTTTATATTGTTTGTAACTTAATTTTCAGGAGCATTTCCAGCTTTTAAACCCTCAGTTTCTTTTCCTCTTAACTGTATTTCTTTCTTTTTTTTTTTTTTTTGAGGTTTTTTTTTTAATTTATTTGACATAGAAAGAGGGAACACAAGGAGGGGGAGTAGGAGAGGGAGAAGCAGGCTTCCAGCTGAGCAGGGAGCCCGATGCAGGGCTCGATCCCAGGACGCTGGGATCATGACCTGAGCTGAAGGCAGAAGCTTAACCGTCTGAGCCACCCAGGCGCCCCCTCTTAACTGTATTTCTTAAGAACAGAAAAAACTTGGGCGCCTGGGTGGCTCAGTTGGTTAAGCGACTGCCTTTGGCTCAGGTCATGATCCTGGAGTCCTGGTATTGAGTCCCGCATCGGGCTCCCTGCTCAGCAGGGAGTCTGCTTCTCCCTCTGACCCTCCCCCCTCTCATGTGCTCTCTCTCTCTCTCATCTCTCTCTCTTTCAAATAAATAAATAAATAAATCTTTAAAAAAAAAAAAAACTTTTATTATTCTCCTTGGAAAAGAAACTGATTACATTGCTCTGATTTCTCTTCTCTGGCGTCATTGTAGAATTGTTCTTTAAATATTTAGAGATGGCTGCTGTATTCTGGGTCTCCTCTTGTGATCTTTTTTTTCCCACCACAGCTAAACACAAGGAGTCTCTATTTCTAGAAATAACTAAAACCATACCAGGAAACAAACTTTTTTTTCCCCCTCTGGTTATATATTAATTTGTTGGATAGGGAATTTGGTGGCAAAAAGGGAAGAAGGGGGAAAAACCAATTTGGGTGGAAACTGACACTTTTTAAAAAATACTGTGAGTTAATATATTCATTAAAAAACTTCAGTCTCTATTTTGAAAATGTTTACGATCGTAATTTTTTCATATTATAAATATAAATGTAGTAGAATTTACTTTCAAATTTTATTACCGATAAATAAGGTATTAACACATATGAAACATAATACTTTGATTTTACTAGTTGTTGAAAAACAAAATTCCAGTTGAATTCGGAAGAAACCATCAGTGTCATAGAGGAATTAATTTCAGTGTTGGCAGATAAAGCATTTTCAGGAAAGTGCAGAGAAGAGAAAGCAATTCATTCCGAGTAACTTGTGCCACACAGAACTTTATTCATTCTCATTTTCTGAAAATTTGCCTGATTCAGGTAACTCTCTCCAACTTTCCACATATCACTTTTTTTCCCATCTTCTAAGGTATTTTCTAAACAGACCACTTTCTCATGCTGCTGGAAAAGCTAAAGAGAAGCAAGACTTCCTAGAGACAAGAGATCTCAGTGTCCCACAGAACTTATCATTTTACAGAAGACGTCTGTTTGGGCAGAATCCCAGACCACATGTCTGGATGGAAGAACAGTCATTTGAAAGTATTGCTCATCTTAAAGTCTGATTATAGAATCTTAAAATCTCAAGACTAAAACTGTCCTTAAAGTGTTTTCTTCCAGAGCTAGCATTCCTGTAAGCTTCAGAAGAATAACAAAGAATGTACAGGTCTTTTCAGTTAAAGACCTCTTGTCTCCTTTTCTCTGGGATGGTGGTATATAGACTTTTTATTCTTTTTTGAACCTAAGCAGATTTTTTGAAACCTCTGATTAAATCGAACTGTATCTACCTGAACCTGATTATTCTCTCTCCAGTTTCACAAATTTTAGGGATAAAGCACATTTACCCTTCTGACTTCTTAGTGCTTTCTAGCCCTGAGTCATGATCTCTGTTTTATGCACTTCTCCTTTTCCATTTCTACATCCAGGCTGAGAGCGATGCTAGAGAAAATCATATCGTGGTCAGATTTGTGCCACTGTAGCTTCCTGAATCCTCTCCAGAGGGGGCCCTCAGCACCAGCCGGGGGTCTTTCTCTTTCTCCGGTTAGCTCTTCGGTCTCTTCTCAGCAGTCACTTCTCCATGTGTTTCAAACCCTTGACTCAGAGATTCTTTACTCACTCTCAGTTACCACTTCAACTTTTCAAAGAAAGTAAAAGCAAGTAGAAGGAAACTCCCTGTTTGTGGGGCCTGTAAACTCACCTGCACCCTCTGTCCACTGTGTGGAAGGAGGGAGTTCCTTGTACTGTCCAAGGCTGATCCACCTGTGCCCTTGTTGCCATCCATCCACCTTCTCAGAGGCCTCCGGTTATTGATTATCCTCTCCCTCTCCCGCATCGGCAGCCTCTTTCTCTCTTGGATACAACCATAAGGGTACCTAAGACGCTGTGGGTGAGGCCCCACAGTGTCTGGCGCTTAGCCCCCAGCAGGGATCAGCGGTGGCTGTGGCTGTCCTCATTGCCAGGATGGGGGGGTGGGGGGTGCAAATTAGGGAAGAAGCTGGTGTCTCAAGCGACCTTAGGCAGACCATTTGCTGTATCTGGGCCTGGGCTTCCTTATCTGTGGAGGGAGATAAGAGGATTGAACGATCTCCTAATCCCTGCAGGCTCAAGCATTGTCCTTTTCTGCCCTGTTGATACAATTGGCTTTTTCACACTTAACATGTGTTGTTATCTTCCCATATCTATAAATATTTCCCCCATCCCCCTAATATACACATTCCCAATTGCTGGATAACATTTTACTATGAGAAAGATATTATGATGTATTATTCCCTTTCGTTTTTGGGCATTTGGATTATTTCCAGTTTTTCACTCTTGAAGATACAGAAGCCACTTTAAAAATGCATCTTTGAATGCTATCTTAATTTTTTTCTAAGAATAAATTCTAGACATGGAATTGCCAAGTAATCAATTTTTATACATATTGCCCCAAAATGATACAGAAAGTATCCATTTAAAGTCCCATAAAAATAACTGTTTCTTGATATTCTTTCTAACAATTATTCTTTTAAATACTTGCCAATTCGATGAGCAGAAATAACATCTTATTCTTGTTTTAACTTCTGTTTCTGTGATTACTAGTGAAGCTAACATGTTGAATACTCACGTTTTTTAATTGTATTGCTCATTCATCTCTGCTGATTTTTCTATTGATTGGTTTTGACGTGTAAATTCTGTCATATATAGATGATAGTAACCCTTTATCAGATATTCAGAAATATATTTTCCAAGTTTTTCATTGATCTTTCAGTTTGTCTTGGTGATTTGAAAAGCTACTATGAAAAGTTTTAAGTGTATACAAAGCTGAAGCAAGTAGTGTGACACACTTACACGTTATCTGTGAAAGCTTCTGCCATTACACACGCCCATTCTCGTTTCATGAACAATGTGTGTGGCAGTTTTTGAGATAGAAAAGCTTTGAAGGATGATGTGGGTAACCTTCCCACTTTATCTTCATGACTCTGCCTTTGGTGTGTTTTCAGATGTAGCCTTGGCTGCAGTCCTAGTCCCGGTGCTCGTCATGGTGCTCACCACCCTCATCCTTGTAGTAGTGTGTGCTTGGCATTGGAGAAACAGGTGAGTCCCTAACCAGCTCACCTGCTTGGTCCTAGAAGGGGTGGTTCCAAGTGTGAAATAAAAACTAGATATACAAGGTGAACTACCATTCACCTTTTTGAGAAGGGGAGAGTTAAGGTAGTTATTAAAGTCAAAATACATTGGTTTGTCCTTTCCATAAAAAATGAGTATGTTCAATAGCATCGTCAGTTACTGAGTGCCTTTATTGTATCAAAATGTGCTTTACGTGCTGGAATATACACGTTAATAAGAACGACAGTCTGACACATAATAGTTGCTTAGTAATATTTCCTGAAAGAACGAGACACAACTCCTATCTCCCAGGTGTTTGGCAGGGTTGATTGACAAGACACGGAACTGTAATATGGCTGGAGGAGTTCTTTTTGAAGTGCCGGGGAGCACAGATGTGAGAATCATGAGAGTTATCTGAAACCTTTTCTGCAGGAAAGAGTAATCCTCAAGTTTGTTTCTCCTTAACGAGAACGTTGGATTTGCCTGGATGGAGGAAGGTAGAGAACAACCCAGACTCTGCTTGAGCGAAGGCGCAGAGACGTGGAGTGCAGGCAGGGCAGTGAGTGCTCACGCGCGCGCGGGGCACGGGAGAGCGCTGAGGAAGAACTGTGCAGGCGCAGCCTGGGCCTGGGTCCGGGAGGGCTTCGGGGACAGAGGGATTCAGGTTTCATTCGGTAGGTGGGGGTCTCCCTGAGGGCGGTGAGGCAGACGGGTGAGATTATGAGATGAGGCGCAACTGTCTGTCTGCTAAGGGAGGAGGAGGGGTCCCAGATGATCGGAAGTTTCTGGCTTGTGCACTTAGACCAGGAGAGATGTCCTGGGTGGAGATGACAAAGCAGGAGGGACAGGTTTGGTGGACGAGAGAGTGACTTCATTCGTTCCCTCAGCTCTGTGAGCTCCTGCCTTGTGCTGAGTACCGAGCGTGTGCTGGGAGTCCAGCGTGAGCCCCAGAGTTCACAGGCTGGGAGAGGATACAGTGCAGAAGGCGGGCAGCCATGGTACCGCCATACACTGCGTGCCGCCAGAGGAAACTGAAGGAGCAGCTGGATCCTGGATTCATGGCTGTAGGAAGGCCGTCTGGACAGAGACCCAGCAAGTTACTCTGAGGGCAGGGCAGGTCCAGGGTGCTCTCGGGGAACTGGGTAGAAGCAATAGGAACAGTGAGGACAGCAGCAACAGCTCGTTTTTATACAGAATGAAAGCCGATTTTAGGCATTAGTGTAAGTTCTTCACATGGTTCAATTCATTTAATCCTCAAAACAACCTACAAAGCAGCTACTGTTTTACCGAGGAAGAAGAGACAGCACGTACATGACTTGTCTGAGGTCACCCGGTCCACCTGCAGCAGAGCGGAGTGGTCAGTCGGGCAGTCAAGTCTCATCCGCTACGGTCAAAGCCCAGAGGGCGAGGATGGGGAGGCGGAGGCAAGTCCTGAGCTCCGTTTTGGCTGGTGCTTAAAGGACCCTACGGATGCTCAGATTCTCAGGACAAAGATGGAAATCAATGGATTTTGCATAGTTTGTATTTGAAACTGAAACAGACCTAATAATAACTTTCCCATAAGAACCCACACATCACCTGTGGGTCTTTGATGAGATTCTTTTTATCTACAGTCTTAACCTTTCTTACTCCTTTATCCCTTGAGCGGGAACTACCTTGGGTAACAGAATAACTGTCTCAGGAGATGGTTGTGTAAAATTTATTGAGAGTTCAAAATTTATGAGTTTCAGCAGTGGCGACTTTGAAAGGCAAATGAAACAGAGGACCCTGCCGGGTAGGTCAACAAATGGAAATGTGTACTCCTGACTAACTATTAACTTGAGTGTTTATCCTGCACTTCCAGAGCTGTCTTACTCGTGAATTCACTCTGTTTGCTAACATGTTTTTTCTCTATTTTTCCAGAAAGAAAAAAACCGAAGGCACCTACGACTTACCTTACTGGGACCGGGCAGGTAAGCCAGGACTTTGCACCCCCTCCCATCAGGGGAAGTGTCACCCCTCCAGGTGGCAGCAGTGAAAGAGGAGAGCTGTTTTCAGGCCCACCTAAACTCCCCAGCACTTGGGAGAAAAATGATCTTCCTCTAACCTTCTGATCATTTTTACTCTTCTATAAAATCTCTTGTAGCCAATAAGTAATGCAATGAAAAGTAAGGATTTCTCGTAATGCGCCCTCCGTTCCTTTTTCCTGGGAAACCTGTGCGGTTTGTGCCATTTGTGCCACGTATCTGTTTTTCTTGAGGAGACCAGCTTTCTTTGTGGACTATGTAAGCACTGTGGGCCTGATAACACAGTGTGTGTGTGTCACTGTGCTGTGGGTACTTCCCAAGTAGAGCCTAGCAGTTTGAGAATCGGGAGGTCGGCCGTCTCTGCCGTGATGAGTTGTCATCTTCTGAACTCTACTCTGTGGGGCAGAGGGCAGCAGGCGACACCAGAGGCCCCCTGCAGGTCTCCTACTTTCCGGTCTCGCTACTGGAACAGTTAAAAGGCAGAAGAGTTCACCACTGTGACTAACATAGAAAAAAAGCAGTGGTGGGGGCAGATTCTGTGCTGCTAACACCCCAAGGTAGATCTTGGGAAGTATTTTTTCAGAAAAACTTACCAACCAAAACCATCCTACAAGAAACAAACTGTATTTGCCTGCACTTTTATAGGAGTGGTTTGCTTCTGTATATGCTTTTGATAGAAATTTCTACCATGTTCTGCATTGCACTAGATACCCCATTAAAGAAAAAAAAATGAGCTTGAACAACTTAAGGAATTAGAACAAGAACAAACTAAACCCAAAGCTACCAGAAGGAAAGAAATAATAAAGATAAGAGAGAGAAACAAAATGGAGAATGGGAAAATAGAGGAGATCGGTGAAATCAAATGTTAGTTCTTCAAAAAGATCGACAAAATTGACAAACTTTTAGATGGAATAAGAAAAAAGATTGAAACTACTAAAATCAGAAAAGAAAGTGCAGGCATCACTGCTGATTCTACAGAAATGAAAAGGATTATGAGAGTATTATGAACAATCGTATGCCAAAAAATTGAATGAACTAGGTGAAATTGACAAATTACCAGAAATATAAAACCTACCAAGACTAAATCACAAAGAATAGAAAATCTGAATTGACTGTATATAACTACTAAAGAGATTGAGTCAATAATCAAAAATCTCTCAGAAAAATCCTACCAAACATTTAAAGGAGAATTAAGCCTTAAAGATTCCACCAAAAAAAAAAAAGCTGTTAGCACCAATAACTGAGCCAACTATCAGGATACAAAGTCGACACACCTTTTACCTCCTTGGTTCAGTGAACTCCTAAGTATTAATATCAGTTGCATTTCTGTACACAAGCTGAACAATCTGAAAAGGAAATTATAAAAAGTTTCACTTACATTTGCATCAAAAAGAATACTTAGTTCATTTAACCAAGGAGGTAAAAGACTTGTACAATGCAAACTAGAAACATTGCTAAAGAAATTTTAAAAAGACATAAATGAAAACATACCCTGTGTTCGTGGATTGAAAACTTAATACTGTTAACATCTACAGATTCAATATCAATCCCTATCAAAACTCCTGTGACATTTTTTGTACAAACAGAAAAATCCATTCTAAAATTCATATAGAATTTTAAGGGACTCCAAATAGCCAAGACAGTCTTGGAAAAGAAGAATAAAACTAGAAGATTTCACACATCCTGATTTCAGAATTTACTGCAAAGTTAATCAAAGCAGTGTGGTATTGGCATAAATACACACCAGTGGAATGGAGAGCCCAGAAATAAATGCTCCTAAATATGGACAAATGATTTTTGGCAAGGGTGCCAAGACCATTGGGGAAATGACAGTCTTCTCAACAAATGGTGCTAGGAACATTGGATATCCACATGTAAAAGAATGAAGTAGGACTCCTACTTAACACCCATTTGTAAAAATAAACTCAAAAGTGGATGAAAGACCAAAATGTAGTATCTTAAACAATAAAACTTGTAGGAAAAAAACACAGGACAAAAACTTGATGACAGTGGACTTGGCAATGGCTTCTTAGCTATGACAGCAAATGCACAATTAACAAAAGAAGAAATAAAATAGACTTCATGGAAATTTAAAAATTTTGTGTGTCAGAATACACTATCCGGAGAGTAAAAAGGCAACCCACAGAATGGGAGAAAGCATTTGCAAATCATGTATCTGCTAAAGGATTCATACCCAGAATATTTAGAGAACTTCTAAAACACAGCAAAAAAACAATTCACAAATGGACAAAGGACTTTGAGTAGACTTTTCTCCAAAGAATATATACAAATGGCCAATAAGCACAGGAAAAGATGCTCAATATCGCTAATCTTTAGGGAAATGAAAACTGTGAGATAACACCTCACACCCATGAGGTGTCTCCTATCAAAAAAACAGAACAGTAAGAGTTGATGAGGATGTGGAGAAATTAGAATGTTTGTGTAATGTTGGTGGGACTGTAAAATGGTTCGGTGCTGCGGAAAACACTGTGGCTGTTCCTGATAAATGAAAAATAATGACCATATGATCCAGCAGTTCCACCCAACAGAATTAAAAGCAGGGTCTCAAAGAGCTATTTGTACGTCAGTTTTCATTGCAAAGTTATTCACAACAGTTAAAATGTGGAAGCCACCCAAGTGACCATCAGCTGATGAATGGAAAAGCAAAATGTGTTGTACAAGTGCAATGGAATATCATTGAGCCTTAAAAAGGAAAGATTTTCCGTAATATGCTACAAGATGGATGAACCTTGAGGACATTATGCTAGGCAAAATAAGCCAGTCACAAAAAGACAAATACTGTATGATTCCACTTAGATGAAGTACTTAGAGTAGTCAAAATCATAAAGACAGTGAAGACAGTAAGGTGGTGGTTGCCATTGGTGAGGGGAATGAAGAATGGGGAGTCACTGTTTCATGGGGATGGAGTTTTAGTTTTACAAGACGAAAAGTTACAGAGATGGGTGGTAGTGATAGTTGCACAGCAGTGTGCACGACTTTTAAGCCACCTGACCTACACTTAAAAATGCTTAAGGTGGTAAATTTTATGTAAAGTGTATTTTACTACAAAAAATAAAAAAGAGAGGGATTGAACATAGAGGCTAGTTTGTACTAGTGTGTTACAGAAATGGCTTAAATGCAACAGGATTTCTCCCGTAAACAATGTCATCATTTCAGGCCTAGGGTTCTATTTAATGGTCTTTCTTGCTTGCTTACAATCACCATGAAGGTTGGTGGAAAGGAATGAAGCAGTTTCTCCCTGCCAAATCAGTGGAACACGAGGAAACCCCCGTTCGCTACAGCAGCAGTGAAGTTAATCACTTGAGTCCAAGAGAAGTCACCACAGTGCTGCAGACGGACTCTGCAGGTAACCGCGTGCGGCCTTCGCCACAGAGTGGAGGAAGAAACTGCCACACTAGGCTGGAAATTTGAGATTTATGGTGTCTTCTCTCTTTTTCATATGTAAGAGATGAACGGTTTTCTTGAGGTAGAACTGCTTTTTAAAAGGATGACCTTGAGAGAGTCATTTCTGCACCTTAGATGCATACTCCTCTTTTTTGGAGAACATTTCAAAAAGCTCTGGGCATTTTTATCTGTTTACCTGGAGTTTTATTTGAGTGTGAAGAGTAGGAAAGCCGTAGCGAGCCTTACAGTATTTATCCTATTAATCTAGTACATATTTATTTTAAGCACTGTCCTATTTGAGAATATTCTAATAATGGAATGGGTTTTTTTTTCCCCAATGATACACTATTTATAACCTGAAGAGCATAGACATTCTTTGTAAAATTTCATGAATGAGGCTCTATGGCATATTAACTTCTTAGGAGATACAAGATAACATGTTTAATTTTTTTAAGTTGGTTCAGGTAGAGAAATCCATAGGTCTGTATTGATAGGAACAAAAGTGCCGTAAAGAAGTGTGTGTTTTGGGTGTCGGGCTACGGCTGATCCCTGTGTGAATGAGGTGACCTTCCTGTCGTTGGTTCTGTGATATCCACAGAGTATGCACAACCACTTGTGGGAGGAATTGTTGGCACCCTTCATCAGAGATCCACCTTTAAACCAGAAGAAGGGAAAGAAGCAAGTTATGCTGACCTAGATCCTTACAACTCCCCGGTCCAGGAAGTCTACCATGCTTATGCCGAACCACTGCCGATTACCGGGCCCGAATATGCAACCCCCATCATCATGGATATGTCCGGGCACCCCCCAGCCTCAGTTGGTCTTCCCTCAACGTCCACTTTCAAAGCTACAGGGAACCAGCCTCCCCCTGTGGTGGGAGCCTACAACACTCTTCTCTCCAGGACCGACAGCTGCTCGTCCGCCCGCGCCCAGTATGACACCCCAAAAGGTGGGAAACCAGGTGCCAGTGCCCCAGGCGAACTGGTGTACCAGGTGCCACACAGCACACAGGAGGCTTCAGGGGCCGGGGGGGATGGTGAATGTGATGGTTTTCAAGAAACTCTTTGAAGGGGATGCTGCTTGTTACAAAGCATGGTTGTAAAGCACATGGCCTTTCTTGTGTGTTAGTGGTAGTAATGTAGAGAATGTATTACCTGTCTGTCACAGCTGTGGTTGGGGAAGATGTGAGGACTGAGGTACAGGGAACTGCTAATCTTGCCATCTTGCTTTAAGAGCATTACTGTGGCAGTGACGGCTTGCCTGTTAAATTTCAAACATCCTGTTTGTTACTACTGTAAAACACGATTTTTTAATACAGAAAAAGCTCCCTACTATGCACTTCAAAGAAATTAAAAATCCCTGAGTATTTATTACCGATGCTGCAGGTACATTGATGAACTCGAGGTGGCTCTGTACGCCTGACTGGCAATAACGCGTGGTACTGTTCTTGAAATGTCTGATGGCTTGAAATGTTGCTCTTTGTGAAAGGTGGGTACTATCATGAGTTCTTTCTCTTCTATTCCTATACTCCTTATGGATTTTTTTCAAAAATTAGTGATAGAATCATCGTTTTGGTTGTAGTCGTACACTTACCTGTCTTTCCTTAGGAAGGTCTATAGTGGGAAACTGACTTGTGAAGGGTGGGGTCATTGATTTTTCGCCTTTTGACACTCTGAAGAGCTTTCAGACTTCATGGTACGTGACCTGGTTTCATCCCTGCTTGTTCTGTCTGGGACCAGCCCCATTCTTGTGTTTATAAACTGTTTTGAATTTTTTTTTAGTGAGTGATGCTTGCTTCATCAGCCTCATGAATCCTGTAATTGTAAAAAGCTCTAACAGAGATTCTCTCCCTGCCCCCAACTTTATTTGCAACGGGATTGGTCCTAGGCGAGTTGGAGGGCATCTGAGTGAACACTGTAGACAGGAGTCCTTATGTTTACCACAGCGAAAGGCTTAGAATCATTCCTCAGAAGTCATATAAATTACCCTAAAAAAAAAAAAACACAAGAAAACAAAAAACGGATTTGCCCTCTTTGATTTAATATATAGAGATGTTTCTCTGAATCTGAAGTTATTTTTGGTCAAAAAGTATTTCTAATTATCCACAGTAAAATACTGAAAGAAGTAGAAGCCAGCATGAATTCTTCAACTCTGTGTGAGTGTGCCCGCTCTGTGTCGTAGGAGTTGTGACAGTCCTTTACCACATGCCTGTGGAACAGATGTTCTAGCATCCTAGCAGGTGAATATTGACGTCTGTTTTTGATACTTCCAGGCAACTTCTTTGTCACCATTTGCCCAGAACTAGTTTTAGATGGGTGAAATAAAAATTCATTTAATTTATTAGCCCATAGTGTAAGAATCTTTAAAAATCTTTGGCAAGATGAGAAGCTGGCCCTATGTTTAAAACATATAATCTCCCATCAGGTTCTAGCCATTTCTTGATTGTTTCCAGAATTTGCTAGATGTGAGAAAAGACAGTGTTCATTTTGCTTGCTTCCAGGTATATCAGTATTTTAAAGTATTGCTTCAAAAACAATTATTTCTGCAGCCTCTCTGCCATATAGTATTATTTTTGTTGGTGTTACCTTCATTTGCTTTTGTTTTTCCAGACAAACTTTGAGGCATAATTTTATTCATTGAAAAAATATATTGTTTCCAAACATTTGAAACAAAAAGCACAGATGTTGAACTTTATTAAGACATGAATGTGTAAAGCACATTTATTAATGCAGTCATCCCCTTTCAGGTGGGAAGAGAGTAAACCAATTTATTTTTTTATTTATCCTCAGTACACAGTGAATATACTTCTCCAATCACATGCCTGTTTGAGAAGCTTTAAGAGAAATGATCCCATTTTCCCAAAGATGCTTGTTTTTATTTAATTTTGTGCACCTGATTTTCCCATGGAACTTTTTTTTGAGAGGCAAATGTTTTCTTCTCAAATGATGCATGTTTTTGCCACTGTGCGGTCCTTGAACTACGAGTGATTTTTACAAAATAGTTTTTATTGCTTTTGTATATTTTACTTTCCAAATGAAGAGCTGAGCCTGATACAAAGGGTTATTCTGGTTTTGTACTTTTAGTTCATTTGTTTTCATATTAGAGTTTTGTTTTGGGTTTTAACTACATTTATATGTCTGATGCAGCTGTGGAGACAATCAACTGAAAATGTGAAAGTAACTTTTTTTTTTTCGTTACTAAATTCCCTTGAATTTTTATTCTTTGCTTGAAACATGTTAAAGAGTTAAGTCACTCTGGTTTATTGGATTTTTTTTCCTGTTAACACAATGATAAAAATCAAATCAGTGGTACAGCAAGTGTGGCCCCTGCAGGTTTTCATAAAGTCACACCAACTTCACTGTTACATAATCTTAGGAACCAGCACAGTTAAAGATATTGTGAATACTGATTTATATTTTATTAAAAGCTATAACACTAAATAGATCCTATTGTATGTGCAGGGTCTAGTCCAGTTATTTAAATTCAAGTTTCACTATTTGCACTTTGCATTGAACAATGGGTTTATCCGCTGATGAAATGGTTTGTGTAGAGAATTTATAAAGCAGTTGAAACTATGGTGTCATGTGCACTCTTGTCCTCCCCTGCCCCAGTAGAAAATGCACTCATCTAAAATTCTGTGGAAGGTGAGAAAGCTTGAACTTCTTTGCCTTGGCCCCACATTGACACCTGGAGAGCATAAGGGCTATGGAAGCACCAGGTCAGAGGACAGAACTAAGACTGTGGGACAAAAACTTTTCAAACCCTTTTAAGAGAAATCTGTTGGGCTCTACCTTTAAGAAAAACTGCCTTTTAGCTCTGCTTTTCTGTTCTGAACTTGAAGTCCCTAAACTGCAAAATCTAGTAAGTGTTGGATGGTTATTAAAATACTTTTTAGTTCAACTGTGGCACCAATTATTTACTCCAATTTGTGACTAGTTTTTTTGTTTGTTTTTGTTTTTTTGGCACTGGGAAAGGTGGAAACAAAACATTGAAATACATATTGGAAATAAAAATGGTTTGAGGGTCAGTGATATTCTCCCAGAATGTACTTTTCTTACCTCGGCATGTACTGTAGTCACTCAGTATTTGTATATGTTGCTAGAATTTAGATTGTATAAATAGTGAGATCTTAATGTGTTCGTGTGTTTTTAATAAATTGTACATATGTGTCTTGCTGAGAATTTCCTTTGGCTTATATGAAACCACGTTGAAGTTTGTAGCCTTTTCTCATACTACACAAAATGCCAGATTCCTCAGTTTTTAGCATCGCTCAGAAATTGTACTGCCATTATTCTACCCTTACAGTAACATTTGAAAATGCTACCAGTGGTTTTTTACTTTTACTCCAGCCCGGACCATCTGTTTTTGAAGCCTAAATTAGTTCACAAACTGCATTTTGTGTGGTAAACTCTGACTGTGTGGTAGGAGGGAAAGGTCACGCGAACACCCATCTTTTCCACCTCAGAGTTATTAGAGGAATCCAGTGAAACCATGGTACTGTGCAAGCATGCTCGTGCTAACAGAACACAGTCCATATTTAATGTCCAGATCTGGCTTAAATCAACCCGGAGTTTTCTCCCCCCTTATACTGCGTTTGACATACTCTTTAGAGAGGCAGGTTGGTTTCCGGTAACACCAGCCGTGTCTCCCAATGATAATTATTGTTCAAAAGATTAACAATTCTTTCAACTCTTACCTCTTCTGAGAACTTTTAATTCCATCCCTCTTGTAATTCTCTTCTCTTCCTTTTTCCCCTCCCCATAGCCCTTGGCTGTATTAAATGAGAAGGGTCACTAGCTCACATTTGTTCGAAAGGTTGGTTTTGACTTGTTTGCATCCAGTAGGACTCTTTTCTGATGCACCCTAGGCAGCCAGGTAAGCCTTCCCTTTGAAGAATTGACATTGTTCATGAAATTCCCATTTAAATCCAAAAAACAGCTTGTTTAGTCTCAAGGATTTATCTTCATTTTTCCTAATTCAAATAGTAAACTTTCAAATTTTAATATATTAAGCCAGGCAGAAAATTTAAGAATGGTCTCCTTGAGCTTGCCTAGCTCAGCTACTTTGTATGAGCTTTAAAATAATGCAGTCACCAGGCTTTAGTAATTGCATTCTTAGATTATTTACTTGTCCAGAATTTCATGTTTAGCCTATTTCCTTCACCTTAAAAACACCACCTTCCTTCTACCCGATTACTCATTATATAATCATGGTTCACTTAATTGCAAGACAAAAAAAGCTTAATGAAAACAGTATGATCTTAGATTTCCATAACCATACCTACTGTTATGTTCAGGGCTGCTTTAAGATTCAAATCTGTTTCCTCAGCTACAACAAAAAGGAACAGTCATCTAGCTACATGCCTAAAGTGGTTCCAGTTTGCCACATCAAGGCACAAACACATGGCCATTCCCCACCAATTTACAGTAGCCAAATGTTGTGCTCAAAACTTGTGGTCAACTAAAGCCCCTTATTAGGAAGTCACATCCTCTCAAAAGTCTAAGATGAACTAATTATAAAAAGATGTTTAGAAACACTTCGGAAAACTAGCTTGTTTTAAAAACAATGCAATCAAAACTTCTTTCCCTGATATCTTAACTAAGCATATCTTGGTTTTTATAAATTAAATATATTCACAAAAATTAAGCTGGTGGTTATGAATCACCAGGCAGTAAAAGACTTAATATACACAATTTTTTGACAAGTGCATCCAACATATTTAAAAATAAACTAAAAATTGCCGTATAAAAATAAAACTAATACTGTTAGCGTCGTCTTCTGAGTCTGTAGAGTTAATCTTCAGTCAAGTTGATTACAAAGTTTTTTTCTATAATGTCCTTCAAAAAGAGCTGCTCCGCTGTCACATTGTGATACGCATTCTAGAGAAGAAAAGGAAAAAATCATCTATCCCAGTCTCAAAACATTAACAGCAACAATGGGATACACTGTATCTAAAAAGCTTCTGAATAAAAAACTCAAGTCACAAGTATACAGGTAGACTTTAAACTTATGTTACCTTTTTCTTTGCTCATTCTTTTGCCAGGGTTCCCTAAATTTAGCCTGCTGTTTCCCCTTAAATCCTCACATAAGAGCACCCCTTCTTATCATTCCCCCCATCTCCTAAATCAGGATATAAAACTAGAGACCAAAATTTTAAGTCAAATGGTTTGATCACTTTAATAAAAACAGCACCTGAAATTCATAATAGAAATCAGCCTAAAGAAGCAATTGTAAAGCATGGCTAAGATAGATTTTTTAAAAATAATTCTGTTCTATTGATGGATATCCTAATTTTCCTCAGGAAATTGTTTCAATGTTCTGTTATTTAGATGGCTAGAAATCCCACAAGTGCTAAAAGATTAGGGCTGAGGAGAAATGATCCTGAAGTCTGTCGCAAGCACCTAACACTTGAACTACTCAAGTGTTTGTCTCACAAGGGGTAGGAGATGAGATAATATATGAAGGTCTGACCTGAATAATACCACTTCTTTGGCTTATGGTAGTGTTTGGGGATGATGACCTAAGGGGACTGATTACATAGGATATATCCCTACTTTACAGCAAATCATTCATATTTCCATATTAAAAATGTACAGATAACATTTTAGTCCTATCATTTGTGATATGCCACTAACCTCAGACAACTCCTTCCCATTCAGTTAAGTCTTAAAGATCCTATCGACCACCACTGATCTCTAATTCAAGAGAAGCATGATCTACTATAAACGCTTGCAACCTTTTTGACCATGAATATTCCCTCATGGAGTGAAAACGTTACAGACCTCCCCCTCTGCTTAACTAAAAAAATCCGTTGAAAAGCACAGCAAAAAGTTATATCATCTTCCCAACTCCAAATTTACCTTCATCTTTACCGTGTTTTCAGTGCTCAATCCTCTTACGTGGATGAGTGTCCCTGTTCCATGGCAATGCTTTTAAGTGAGTTTGAGATTGTTATCAACAGCAAGTTGCCTACATGCATATTTAAATAGTGCAAACATGATCTAAGATAAGGCTTGGTGTCTAGAGGGGTTTGATGCTACTTGATAATAACTATGTCCTATTCCCAAGGGTCTGAGGCCCACAAATTGGAACTGCCTGGATTTGAGTCCCAGTTTCAGTCTTTGGTAGCTCTTGGGTAGGGTTAAGCAGCTCTCAAACTCTCAAAACCTGTTCCTTCAGTAAAAATGATAGAAAAGAAGATAGAGGCCTTGCAACTGTAAAGATCAGAGATTATACCCAAGTGTGTATGTATATATTACCTTATTCATCAAAGACATGGTGGCATTCCCATAATAGTGCAAAGGACTCTTGAGGTCAGAAAAGTTGTATTTAAAACCAGCAAGGTGAACTTCATGACATATGTGAAAGGCCAGCGTGATGGCAATAATTCCTGTTGTTGGGTGTTTGGGTTTCTGGGGAAGGAAATGAAAGTTTTTTTAAAACTCAAACAAGATACTGGTTTCCAAAGCATAGTTGGGTGACCTCATCTTATAAAACCGGGACTTCTGAACAGGTCATCAGGTGAGAAATACCTAAGTTAAAACCTCATCGTGTCTAAGGCCCAAGCCCCGGTTAATTTCCTAACTCTGAAAAGCATATAAATGTGACTGAAATCTTAGAAAAATCTTTCAAATAAAACTTAACTGCCGTATTAGCCCAGAGGACAGATATCAAATGAAGAAACACTGAGGCACCGGAAAAAGGATGCTGCTGCCTCATTTTATAAAACATGCTGAGTCAGGCTTCCTGTGCAAACAGCAGAGCCTGCAAATTTTGAATCCGTACACGAAACGTAAAGACAGGTTAATTCACTAATGGATGGTTAAGAGGCTTCACATAAGCCTTAAAATAGATCTCTCTTTTTTTTTTAATTTTATTTATTTGACAGAGAGGGACACAGCGAGAGAGGGAACACAAGCAGGGGGAGCAGGAGAGGGAGATGCAGGCTCTCCACGGAGCAGGGAGCCCGATGTGGGACTCGATCCCAGGACCCTGGGACCATGACCTGAGCCGAAGGCAGACGCTTAACGACTGAGCCACCCAGGCACCCAAAATAGATCTCTTTTACCATCCTAATAACTTAACCAGCTCTAGGGAAAGACTAATCAATTAACTTCAGTGGCAAATAGTAAGATTCTGACTTCTATAGAAAATAAAAATTCCAGATGTATACAGAGTAATGTCTACAGTCTCCACTGGATCATTATCAATTTAAAAACCAAAAAGGAAAGAAACCAAGCATCCCTTTCACATATACATATCTCCTGAAAATGCAGTAACAGATGATTGACAGGAGGATCTTCATTCAGTTTTAATTCTCACCGGGATGGCCTCCAAAGACAAAAACAAAATACATCTTAAACTTTTTAACACAGCCATCTAAGGAGATTTCCTTTCATTAAGGTAACAGAGTGCTTACAGATTCCATGGAAATAACACTATGATTTTGAGAAGGAGAATAAAAATCCAAGCAGCACAATAATATCAAATAAACTTCAGGAGGCAAGCTCATCTGAAAACTGCCTTTTGCATAAGCTTTTCTTTACCCCATGCCCTACTGTGAATACCATAAGCCTTCGCCATCTGCCAGAAAGGGAAATTAGTGGTTGGGTTAAAAACCTGGGAGTCATTCAACCTCATTGATCCCATCACTTTTTCCCACTTCTGTCCCTCCCCTTCATGTCCTCCGCTTCCTTTCTTCATGCCTTAAAGGACTTCATCCATCAGTATAATCCTTCCATTTTCTGCACCTCTCACCCACAGAAATAGATCATCACCTGACAGAATCTTAACCCTGGCTCAACCCACACCCAAGCAGCAGAACAAGCCAAGAGAAGACAACATTCGTGCCCGGGTACACATTCATGGCCAAAGTCTCAAGTGGGTGTTCAGTATTCCCCTAGTAAATTTCCATTCCTACTCTCCAAGAGTTTTATACCTTTATATCCAACAGCCTCAGCCTCCATCCCACGTCAAACTGCCTATTTAATCCTTATTTCACTAACAGAAACTGAGAAGAGCTATACCAGCTTCCCAACTCCCAGTCTACCTTCATCTTGACCTGTACTTTCAGCGCTCACTCTTACATGGATGCGATGACCCTGTCCCTACCTATGGCCAACCTCTCCCCTCAGGCACTCTTTCCATCTCTTCTCTCTCACCAGATCGGATTCTGACAATGACCCACTGCTCTCCTCATCATTTTCTTCTGTTGAATCGTTCTCTTCGTCATATAAACATGGCATCTGTCTTTAAAACACAACCATGCAAGCAACCTTCCTTGATCCCGTGTCTTTCAACCATTTCTCTGCCCTCTTTTCTAACAAAACTCCATTAAAAATTTGCCTCCACTTGCTCATGTCCCATGTTCTTTTTAACCTAATTCAAGCAGGCTTTTTTTTGTTTCCTTATCCACATCATCAATATGACTTCACATTTCCAGAACCAGGCTTTATTCTTTGTGCGCAAACCCTGGATAGCATCCCACATAACAGACCTCTCTGAAATACTGCTGTGTCCTCAATTTGGCTTCTGGGATGCCATGTTCTACTGGAATTTTAATCTAGTTACAACTAGTTTTAGCATCATCTCTAAGATCAGGGTCTTCCTATTCTTTTGGAGATACTACCTAAAGCAAAAAACAAAGGTTGTATCTGATCTTACCTCACTTAGGAAATAAATTCAACATTCAGAAGCTGTTTTTTCCCCTCAAAATTACTAAGAAATTACTAAGAAGTTGGCCTTTCCTCTCAAAATTACTAAGAAATAAGGCTTAAATTTAAAACATTTATGCTTTTTGACTTGGGAATTCCTCTTCTAGGAGTCTATCCTACAGAAATCATACAAGTGGGCTGAAAAGCCCTATAATCAATCACATGCACTTCTAGGTAATTTAGAGAGGAAAAAAGCTGGATACAAACAGAAAGGTCTATGAATAGGGGAATAGCTAAATGGAGAGGGGAAATGGCAGAAGATATATATATATATATATATATATACACACACTTGATACATATATATTCTAAGTTGTTTCATTATAAGCATTAGAATCTAATTATTCTAAAGTTTAGAACTTTTTTATCATACCAAAAAAAAAGACCAAAAAAAACAGATACATGATGTGTGTTTATTTTGTTGGATTTTCCCTGATTACTAAAAAGGGAAACCTCATTTCAGCTGAGCTCTTAATGTCACACAGTTTCTCAAGCTTCAAATGAAAAACCGATCCGTGCCACGGGGTCCAGAGGATACTGTCTTCTAGGGAATTTAGTAAACAAAAGGGCTACTAGAGTCAAAGTCAGTGAGACTCCTTTTAATTAAAAAATTTGGAGTTTCAGCAATATCTCCTCTATGACCTTAGAAATATTTCTGAACTACCCTGCCTTTCCTCACCTTTCCCCCGGCTTTCCTGTGATATTTTTATCAGAGTGCTTGAGACAGTTCTTTTTAGCCTCAGTAGCCATGCGCTTGTCCAGAGGCCATCTGGCTGCTCTGAGCAGAGACTGCCCAGCCGCGCCCCCACCCCGCCGCCCCCTCCTCATCGCAGAACACTGAAGACGAGGTTATGAGAAATGAGTCGCTGGGGCATGCAGGAGGAGACCCCAGAAGGGCTCCACAAGGGCAGAAAAAAACACTCCACCTAAGGTTCTTTCCTTCCTTGCAATCCGAAAAACATAAACATAATACCCACAGATACCTGATTTCACTACCTCGGATGTGGCCTTCAGAAGCCACCTTGTGAGTCATGGTTCTCATCCTTTCTGAGAAACCTAGGATCTCTCCACCCTACCCTAGCCAGATCTTTAGTTTGGAACTGTGCAAAGAAAAATACGTACCTGATTTTTGGGAAATACTTTTGGGAAGTGAAGCAGTTCATAAGCTGCCATTCTGATAATGAAAGGATCTAATATTCTGATTTGATAAGGTTTGTAGACCAAGTTTAAGGCTGGTTTCTTCCAAAAACCGTTAGTGTTCTGAAATTAAAAAAAAAAAAAAACAGAAAATAGAACATTGTGGTTGTCTTTTTTTTAACGAAAAAAATGAAAATTTTTTTAATAAAAAAAAAAACTGAAGGTAGTCAGAAGGCAGATCAATGTTGCCAACTTACTATTTTGCCACCCGTCAGCAGTTCCCACAGCCACTTTAAATCAAGCGGCTTAAAAGCAGTGAGAACCGCCGTAGTATTAGGATCATTGTGATTGGGATCTGAAAAAACAGATTCTGGATAAAAAAGTCGGAAGGTTGTCCTTCTCCCAACTTCCTCTTCATGTCCTAAAACAGGACCATTATTCATTCTGTGGGGAGTAAAACACACAAAATATGTAGACCAAGTGTAGTATGAGCCAATTCCATCCCAAGTTTCAGAGCTTTCAGAGCAGGACAGACAGCTGCGGCCACGGGCCCAGTGCGTAAAGCTACAGGGCAACGGATTTTTTTTTTTTTTTTTTTTTAATGCATAACAGCCAAGGAAATAATTCCCTTTCATGAAACGGCTGCTTGATCAAAGGCAGAAATGTTCATCTGGATTTGAACATTAATTGTGGGGCCACTGATAATTCAGTCCTACCTCCAGGAAAATCGAAGACTCAATAAAACAAAATTAGGACATAGAACCAAAGACTACTAGAGTTAAGAGAGACCTTGGAGGACATCCAGAGAAAACCCCTTGGATAAAGGCCCTGCAGTCCAGAGAGAGAAAGTTACTTGCCCAAGTTTACACAGTCATGTAGCACATGGACTGAGAAACAAGAATCACTCTGAAGGTGATCTGAAGACCCATCAAAATTGTTGAGCTCTGTAATAAAGTGATAATATAAAATTGCCGTATTATACCCATGCACAACCAAATAAATGTTATTGCTAGAGTGAACTAAAGAACCACAAAGGATCTACCATTGGGTTTGCGTATGCTCAGTGCCAAAGTTAAACATGCACTATTTACGCATACACTATGAAGGCATGCTATTAAAAGGAATGCTTTGTTTCCAAAACAGTGTCCCCCTGGGAGGATAAATACTGTTTCACCCTTTGCTACTGACTCCATGTAACCTAAGACAGTCTTAACACTTGCAATGACTTTCATAAATGTTGTACCCGTGGCATTCTCCCACAAGGGTTTGCTGTGGTGCTGGATGATCAAATGTTTAGACAACTATAGGTAAGGAAATTCGTGTTTCAAAAATTGTCATGTGGATAAAATTTCACAGCTTCCTCAAAATGGATAGTGAACAGAAAATAAGGTGACCTCACTATGCAGAAGCTCTTGGCAGCTTGTAACCCAGCAAAACCCCCAAAGACTGCCAGGTCATCCTAACGCACTGCCCCACTCTTGAAAAGACTATTCATAGCCATTCCCAACACACACAACACAGGATGACCTTACTTCAACCTTTCAATGAGAAAATAGAGCTAGAAATGTCCTCATTTTCCCTCCACTCCATCTGTGGGACTCTTGGTAGCCATAACTACAATCCCAGTTTTCCTTTCCATTACAGAGGACCAACCACACTTGCACTCTGGAAGCCCATCCCATCTTGCTACCACACCAATCTCTTTGTTCATTTCCATCAGTTTACCAACATGCTCTAGAATCTCCTCTCTTTATAAAAGGAACAAAACAAAAAACAAAAAAGCCTCCTTTGGTTCCATAACTATCTCCAGCTACCATCTCATTTCTCAACTCCACAGCAAAACTTCTCAAGAGCATTGCCTACACTGCTTTCTCACTTTCTCACCTGTCATTCTCTCCTCAAACCACTCTGGTTGGGCCACTCCCCATATCATGTCTCCAAGTCTGCTTTTGTCAAGAGTGTGAGTGAGCTTCAGGTTGCCAGTCCAGTGGTGAACTCTGTCCTTATCTTGCATGACCTCTCACCAGCTGGTCATGGGTGACCCCTTCTCCTCTCCTTTAAAACACTTCCTACCTCACTGGTGGATCCTCTTCCATCTCTTTTACTCTTTTTTTTTTTTTCTTTTTTGCTCAACCTCCAAGTATAGAGTATCTCAAGACTCGGTCCTAAGCCCTCTTCTGTGTTTCTCGCTGGGAAATCTTGCCCAGACCATGGTTTAAACATAGCTTACAGGTTGTTTACCATCAAGCCTTTAACCTGTTTAACCAAATGCCTACTTGACTTAACATTGCAAATCTAGTAAGCATCTCAAATCTAACATGTTCCCACAGAAATCTTGATTCTCCTCTAAACATCTTCCTACCCTAGTCTTCCCCCAGCTCAATATTGGTACCTCTATCCAGGCAATCTCTCAAGCTGAAAACCCAGGAGGAGGTATGTGGTTCCTTTATTCCCATCTCTCCTCACACCTAACACATCAACAAATCCTGATAACCTTACCTCTAAAACATGTCTCAGTCTATCCACTTACGTACTTCTCTGTCATGACAATCCTGTTCCAAGCCACCACCATCTGCCTGAATATAGCCACCTGACTGGCCTCTTTATTTCTACCCTTGTCCTTCATATCCCATTGTCCATGCCACAGCCAAGGTATTTTAAAAACATAGCCAGATCAGATTGCTCTCCCGCTTAAAAATCTTCAGAAGTTTCCTGTTGTACTTAAAGTAAAATCCCAGTTCTAATCTCAGTTTACACAGTCCTATACAACCTACCCCTTGCTTTCCTCTTTGGCTTCCGACTGTACCACTCTCCCTGAGCCTGCTGCCCGACTCCCTCACCGGTTTTCTTGCTACTCTTCTCAAACCCAGGATCATGTCCTCCCCAGGACCTGCACTAAACATTCTTTCTGCCTGGATTGCTCTTCCCTAGTCTTCACATGCTGGTACTATAATGGTCACATAGGTCTGTCTTAGAAGTCTTCTCCTCAAAGTGGTCATCCATTCTAAAGTAGCTATTCAATCACTGGCTGTCACATATTTTAACTGTTTGTATGGCATTTATTATTGTATTTCCTTATTTATTTAATTACTGTTTTCTTCCCTTCATCACAATGTAAGCTCCATGGGGAGCTTATTCTCATTCACTGCTATATGCCCTGGAGCTGGAACTGTGCCTGGCATATTAAGGAGACTTCACAAATATTTGCTAAGTGAATGACCTGAAAATTTAGGCCTACTCTAGTCGACGACTGAGAGACCGGCTGTGTTAATGTACTTAAATATATCTAAGCAACTCATCTTCCTTTTAAACACAGTCATACTAAAATAGAAAATCATATTCCTTTGAAACAATTCCAGGTTAGCAAATAGGAAATATATTTACCTTATTATTACATCATAGGAGTCAATTTTTTCTCCTAATGTCTTATTCTTCAAAACTCCTCCATTACCAACCACCACGCACTTTTTACATGGCACACTGTTGGGCAAACAGACAAGTGAGGTTGAGACATCTTTCACATAACTGGGTGATTCCAAGAATTTGTTCATACTTTCCAGAACCCAGTGCCAAATTTCACTGGTTGCACAAGTAGAAAAAGAACCAACAGTTGACTTACTGGTCTAGGGATATATTAGAAAGATACAGGATTCAAGAAATAGCATTCCATAGGAAGTATATGATTGTTAGCAACTAACAGGTGCTTATGAGTCCATACACATTCCCTCATTTGATTCTCATAACCATCTGCTGAGATAGGTAAGCCTGATATTTCCATTTTACAAATGAAGAAGGTGTTCAGAGAAGTGTTGGTTAACATTTCAAAGTCATACTCCCAAGAAGCAGAATCAGGATTTGCATCCAGACCCTTAAAGGACAAAAACACCACTTGGCCTACAATTCTGCATGTTAATATTGATACAAGTGTGTTTACATGACATAGCTATACATTTTTTCCCAGCGTTTCTCACTCCCTGAGAATCCTGATTGTAGCTCTGGGTCATTGCTGCATCTTATTGATGTGGAGACAGTTTGGAATCTGGTAGGGAAGGTGTATCTTTCCTGGACCTGCCCACGAGCACTTCAATTCCCCCAACATGTACTGTTTCTTGGAGCTTAACCAATATAAACTAAAAGTTCATGCTGTGTTCCTAGCAGAGACCTTTCAAGTAGATGATGAAGTGGGACTTCCTGTTGCTGGCTGGGATCAGCCTAGAATCATGCACTGTGTACCATCAGCTCTCAGCAAACCCAACCTGGCCTATCTATCTCCAGGCTCTCACCGCCTCCTGGGCAGGCCTTGAAAAATGACAACAATACAGATCACATCCTTCTCCTTTAGGGGACAAGACTACAGAGGGGAAGACTGTTGAGACTGTCCTTCCAAGGCCTTCATGACATGAAAGTATAAAGAAAAAAACCGTTTCTCTAAAAACCATGAAATAAAGCAGACCAGATGAACTCTAGACCTTAAGGCTCTTACGAAATTAATGAGTAGCAAAATCGCACAAATACTGTAGAACATGTAAACTTAGAGGGGCGCCTGGTTGGCCCAATTGGAAGAGCATGTGGCTCTTGACTTCAGGCCATGAGTTCAAGCCCCACATTGGGTGTAGAGATTGCTTAAATAAATAAACAAATAATCGTAGGGAATGTAAGAATACAGGAATAATTAAAAAGAGCCAAGCATTGGCCCTGTCAGGTTAAGAAGAGACAATATACACATTGTATGCATAGAAGCATAAGCTGACCTTTCCTCATTAGAATTTGTTTAGCTCACCTATTTGGTAAGTTTTTAATACTGGAAAACACTTTTTTACACATTTTACACATTTTAATAAGCTCCCCACTTAACAAGTCATGTCAAAATCAGTGTCTACCTTGTTACAAAAACAAGAAGATCCAGAGTGTCACAGGTGTCAGAAACTGGGTTGGGGGGACATTGTCCAGGCACTCCTTGATGATGTAACCCCCAAAACTCCTATCATGGACAGATCACAATATGCTCTAAATTCCAGGAAGGCAACTTTCTCAGTGGTGCTCTGCTCTGTGACCTCTGTGACCAGGTGGCACGGAGAAGATGGGAACACTGGCGAACACATTCCAAACCCTTCCCTCTCTGGGTATGTTGTCACCAGACACATCTTATGAATACTCTCTAACAACGGCAGGTCTCACCCGCATAGCTTGTTTGACTCTTCCTTCCAGAACCTTGGGGTCAGTTTAATGCAAATCAGAGGCTCAACCTCCTGAAGCTGGCTCCATCTCCCCGCGGAGCAAGGCTGTGGGCACTGGGGAGGGAGTGGCTGGGAATGGAGGATCAGAATAACAGCTCTGTTCCTACTGAACCTGCATGGAGCTGGGGGAGAAATAACCATCATTATGGCACCAGATTAACCTCCTCCCTTATGACTGGAGGCCACTTCCTGTTCCCAGGGGCCCTAGGGGCTCCAGTGTCTGTCCTGGCCTGGGATATCCAGCCTGACACCAGGCTGCCTGACCAACATCATCAAACATACCAGGCTAGATAGGAACTCACGCCACCACTGTGTCTCCAGAGCTGCTAACCTGGAGCCCCAACAAAGGACCCCATACCCACAAGCCTCATCTCTGAAGATGACCCAGAAAGAGGTAACTCAGCTCACTCCCAGACACAACCAGTTCCATAATCACTGCTCAGCAATAAACCCATAGGCTGAAACTTCATGCTTGCAGAAGCTTCCCCTCGGTGTTATTTTTATCAGACTAGATTACAGCTGGTCATCAAGCCCCAGATCACATGTGGCCGAGAGAGTATTGTGATAAGAGAAGCAATCATCTGTCATACGAATAGGTCACACTCCTGGTCCCCACTCAGGCTCAAGGTCCTGGACCTCCCTCTCACAGATCCTACCAAGCCTTCCGGTCAAGGGAAAAGGGAGTTGAGGTTTAGAGGCAGACCTTTACCACAAGAGCCCCGAGGATCAGCCACAGAGAGAAGGTCGTTCCTTGTATGTATGCAAGCTCTACAGCCTCTTCCTGTTCATCATCCCAGGAGGTTCAAGGACTTGGGGAAGATGCAAAGAAATCTTAGATACTGCCTCACTCAAAGGGACTCCAATTCTAAAGACACTTTACAGCTGAAGGGTCACCACATTTTTAGAAATCTCACTATTTTCTTCTCTGTGAGCTTTGTAGGGGGCAGCTGGAGGGCAGGCCCTTTGTCATAGAAAAAGTTCACCAGTACCTCTGAAGAGAAATCTTGTCAGTGAATTTCACTTCTCCTCCTGGTAAGGGATATTGCAAAGACCCACACATTTTTCTGAGGATCATATATAATACTAGAAACTCTTTTAGGGGCATTGCTAGGACTACTCTTTGGCAATAGTATCTCATCTAGCGGTAGTACTCACAATGCCCCCATGAGTCCGGGAAACACGCACTGGTACAGCTTTGCAGTCTGAACCACACACCTCACAACGCTCTCCCCAGCAGGGACCCACATATTACCAGAAATTTGAGTCATTATCTCCTTGGCTTCATCCACCTTGTCTGGGCTCCTGGCTTCCCTTGCACCCTGAGGTGTAAAACAGTAACTTCCAGGGTCCTTTGGGTGACTGTATAACTTCACCATATTTAATTAATGCCACTTGCATGCACGAATAGTTACAGACAACTGTGAGTCCCTAGAGGGCAAGAATAGTCTCATTTATATTACTGTACTCTCCAATCTAAAACCTCCTGATTCACAGGCTGTACCCTTTAGAAATCGGTTTGATTGTTACATTAAGGGTGGTGATCGTTTTCTCTCCTATTGTGTCTGGAAAAGGAGGTATCTGTTCTTCCTTCCCCCACTCCAGAAACAGGTAGGGAAATGCACATGCCCCAAACTGCTCACCCAGAAAACAAAATCATTACAGAGTGCCTGAACCTGTTAATGGAAAATCTGGAAAAGTGCTGAAACAGTCATGGTGAGAGATTACATTTCCCCCACATGAAAGGCAGGCTTCTCATCAAGCCAGGAAAACCCAGAAGACTGACTACCTTATACAGAGGTAAACATCAACACCATCAATGCGGAGAAACTAAACACGAATCGCCCATTTCAAAGGACCTGTGACCTGTCTTCTGAATGCTTTCTGACATTCATTTTTCCCTTCAGCAGTATCACACACATTAAACTCTATCACTCCATCTTCAGTGTAACAATCCATGCAGATCCCACCAGCCCTTTTCCCAACACGCATTACCCTGTGTGCCTGCTCGCAGAGCCCTGCTTTCATAAGCCTAATAGTTGGTCTGGAGGTGGCCCCATGACCCCACCTTCGGCAGAAAGATATCAGAGAAGTCTATTAGATGCTCCGGAAAAGATTTCACCCCCAGCAAGAACATGGTTCGAAAGTTCTCCTCCTGGCCAAAAATAGCGGGATGCCCGGGCTAGTGATGCAGACACTGAGATCCTTTTAGAGCCTGGACTCTTTTCCATAAACAACTACTAAAGTCCAAATCTTTTTATTTTTAGGTTGTCTAAGGCCATGTTTCCGCCCTGGCTGGTTGCCCGTCTGACCCAGCTCTGCTGATATAATGGATCCTGCCTGGGTGAACAACGAGGCAGTTGTCACAAATCCCTGTCTATTTAGCAGGCAATGGACTTAGCACAGGGGTTTCAATTAGGTAAGATATTTATGTATGGTTACCCCATAACCATCGATGCAGGACTCAAGCATTCTTCACAGAATCTGGCAGGCTTTCACAAGGCAATAGTGGCAGTTGGGGGTGGAGAGCTGGTTCATGCATTTGAGCGGGAGCTAGGAGTTTGTGATTCAGGGACTCTGCTGCTCTGGGCAAGGGAGAATGTGTTCCCACTAAGGAGATGGCAGCATTCTGGGGACCTGGGTGCAGACCAGTACTCAGGAGCTACATGGACACCCAGAAAGGGCCTTGTAACATGCCACATATAAGTATCGCTTTTCTGTGATGCAATTTCCTTAAATATCCTCAGTTGTTAGTGAAGTGTGTCAAACATGGCCACCTCATGTGAACTGTGCTTTGGAGAATAAAGAGAGGAACCCGAGTCCTAAGAAATCCACAGCAGCAACACACAGAAAAGAAGACAAGAGAACCGGAGTTGCCACTCCGAACCATTGGTTTTAGGCACGGCTTCATGGTGCCTTCCAGACAAAGTGCCACCAAGGCTAAAAAGGAACCTAGAGGTCACCTCAAACACCCCACCTCTTTTTTAAAAAGCATTTTATTTTTGGGGGTGCCTGGGTGGCTCAGTCGGTTAAGTGTCCGCCTCTTGATTTCAGCTCAGGTCATGATCTCAGGGTTTTGAGATCGAGCCCCACATCTGTGGGCACACATGCTGGGCTTGGAAGCTGCTAAAGATTCTCTCTCCCTCTCCCTCTCTCCCCCCACCTCTCTCTAGTAAAAATAAAATAAAATAAAGAAGCATTTTATTTTTTTAATTGCAATATAATTCACAAGTCTTAAAATTCATCCTTTTAAATAAAATTCAGTAGGCTTTTGCATATTCACAAAGCTGTGCAGCAATCCCCACTACGTAATTCTGACCCCACAGCCAATAGCACTCTCTCTCCTTTTCCCTTCCCCACCCCCGCAACCACAAATCTACCTTCTGTCTCTATAGCTCTATCGATTCTGGCCCTTTCATACAGAAGGCATCATGCAGTAGTCGTACACGGTAAGGTATTCTCTCGTATATAATATTTGTCTGTGGGATTTCGTGACTGGCTTCTTTTGTTGAGCATAGCGTTTTCAAGATTCGTCCACATTGTGGCATGAATCAGTACCCCATTCCTTTTTATGACTGAATAATATTCCTTTGTATGGATACACATTTAATTTATCCATTCAGCAGCTGGACATTTGGGTTGTTTCCACTTCAGGGCTTTTCGGAATAATGCTCCTAGGAACATTCACATAGAAGAAGTTCGGTGGTCGTAGGTTTCAGTGTGGGCTTTCTACTTCAAAATAATTCTAGAGTCACACGAAGTTGCAAAACCCGTACTAAGAAGTCCTGGGTACTCTTTACCCCGTTCCCCTCGACCAGGCTTACACTGACTTAACAACTGTGCACTGGTTATACCGACTTAATGATTAACAATTAAAACCACCCTCGGCTTCATGTGCATGTGGAGGTCCTTCGGTTCCTCTCTTTCCCGTGACACTAAGGTTCAGAAGCCTGGGAACTTGCCCAAGAACACAAAGCAGTTAATGCCTTTTTTTCACCATCTATTTAAATGTTGCCTGACTACTTCCTTACCCCTCTCTCCACCTCCCTCCCCCTGCCACCCTCAAAACCCTGTCTCTCAAGCTCTCCTTCCCTGGCCGGTTTACCATCACTCCTCTGCTGCCAAAGTCCTGACCTGAGAGCCCGGCTGAGTATTTCCATAAAAGGAGGAACATGAAAAAAAACATGGAAAGGGTTGCTCTAATTGCTTTTAAAAAAAAATGGTTTGCCTTTTTGAAACTAGCTAGAAGTGGTGGTTGCATAACTTTGTGAATGTACTAAATGCCACTGAATTCTTCACTTTAAAATGGTTCGTTTTTATGTAAATTTCACCTCAATTGAAAAAAGTGATTTGTCAACATTTGAGATTTTTTCTCTTTGCCACACTTGGGATCTGCTGGCTCAGAGCCAGAATCAGAGGCACTTTTACTATGCTTGATCTTCGGGTGAGAGACAGCAAAGAAAAATGTGTTTTCCTATAGTATCTATTCAGAGAAGATTCTTCAGAGATCATGTATCTTTAAGAGAAAAAAAGCCCTATTTAATATATATGTGTTTTCAATGAACTTACACATGTACCCTGGAGATGTTTTGGTTTAACCCTGCTAGAGTATTAAAGTTCATCTGGCTAAAAATGGTTTGAGGTTAAGGATAAAGTCATAAGCTATATTAAATAATGCACGAGATGGCCTGGAAATCCTAAAGAACATGTCCAAAAGAATTCACAATTCCAGAATTCTCTTGCCCCTATCTTCAGATGATGCTCAGTTCAAGACATTCAGTTGTGGGGTCTTGCTTGTCTTCTCTTTGCTTGTTCAAATGTGGAAGGAGGTACTGAGAACAGAAGTCTGCAGACCTCCATATCACCTTCCATATAACTTCTCCTGACGTCGGTTCTCTCACCTTTTAAATGAGGGAACTGGACTAGATCTCCACCCTTCCTGCCTCTGACCATCTCTCAGATTCACCACTTTGCTTTAGAGTCTGGCTCTCAGGCCATACAACACAGCAAGAGGAGGTAAGCTTAGGTAATCGGGACTCTTTACAAAACAGCACAGCACCCCAGGGTTTACCCCACTCCCACCTGCTGGGCCACTGCTCGGGAGAGAAACTCAAACAATACAAAGGAAAAAGTCCAAGATTTACACTAAAAATAAAAAGAGAAATAAAAAAAAATAGAGTAATACACATGTCCCATTGCATGGTATCCTCCTTTCACAGAGAACAGAGAATCTCTGTCACAAAATTAGGGGGAAAGGCAATTTTCTATAATGCAAATATTTTTCTAACAGATATGAGTATACAAAGGGAAGCAAATTATTATAATTACTAGGTGACCAAAAACTTAGAAAAAGAACAGGTGAGTCTGTTTGTTTGTTTTGTGTTTTGGTGGTGAGGGGGCAGTGGTTAGCGATGGGTGGAGGCAGAGCAGAGAGCCAGCCTGGAATGGTTTAGCTCAAGGGGTCTTGCACACAAGCGTCATGGCCAAACACACACACTCCTGTTCCCTTCCTTGTTTATTTCCCACCCAACTACTTCATGGTATTAGCTTTAGGAAAAGGTTCCCTCTGCCTCAGAGTTACTTTACTAACATTACCCACCAATATGGCATATATAACAAGTCCTTCATAAGAAATGTCTCTTCATGGGGGTCCTGGGTGGCTCAGTCAGTTAAGCAGCTGACTCTTGATTTCAGAGCAGGTCATGATCTTAGGGTCATGGAATCAAGCCCCACGTCGGGCTCCACACTCAGCATGGAGTCTGCTTGAGATTCTCTCTCTCCCTCTCCCTCTGCCCCTCCCCCCACTTGCACATGCTCTAAAATAAATAAAATCTTTTTTTTTTTTTTAAAGATTTTATTTATTTATTTGACAGAGACATAGCGAGAGAGGGAACACAAGCAGGGGGAGGGGAGAGGGAGAAGCAGGCTTCCCGCGGAGCAGGGAGCCCGATGTGGGGCTCGATCCCAGGACCCTGGGATCATGACCTGAGCCGAAGGCAGACGCTTAACGACTGAGCCACCCAGGCGCCCCATAAATAAAATCTTAAAAAAAATGTCGCTTCATAAAAAAAATAAAATTTAAAAATTAAAAAAAAAAGAAATGCCACTTCGAAATGATCTACAACACAATATGTTTCAACAGCTTTCACAGTGATCAATTCTCCAAGCGACAAACCACAGTTGACTTCCTTAAGCACTCAGCTAAGTTGGTATAGTTATATAACTGACTTCAGAATCCTAAATATTTACCAGGCACAGAGACCAGTTGCCCCTCAATAAAGTCCCTTAAAATAGGACTTTTTTAGTGTGGGCACACAGCCACTTTTAATAAAGACTACTTTTTTTTTTTTTTTTTTAAGGCTACATTTCTAGCCCACCTTCCAGCTAGGTATGGCCTTGTGATTATATCCCTAGCCAATGGGATACAATCAGTGGTTGCTAGCAAATGTTAACCACCAGTTCTCTCTGGGAGAAAAAGAGGTGATAGGAGAAGCCCTGGTTTGCAGTGTTGCCAATTTCCATGGCATAAATACTCCCCAAATGGCTAATTTCAAGTTTCTACCTTGATGGCACTGAACATGGAACTGCAAAGAACTACAGCTCTCAAGTTGGTGCCAACTGGCTCCAGCACATCCCTGGATGTAATAGAGTATTACATGTGATTTCTGGGCAACGTCCTTAAAGCAGGAGGCAAGTCTTAATGGATACAGACATGGCCTTCCCTTTGCTCCTCCTTACTGGCCAGAATAGAGCCGAGATTGGTGGAAGTCCAGCCATCACACTGGATATTAAGGAGGAAGCTATGTATATAGAAATGGCAGACTCACAATAGAACAGCCCAGGTCCCTGCTAATCATTGCTAGCAGACTGGCCCTGGAATGTTACCCTGCAGACTTCATTTATGTGACACCTGTGAGAAAGAGGAAGCTTTCTATCTTGTAAATGCATCTGATAGTTAGAGCTTTCCCATTCATAGTGGAATCTGTCCCAACAGAGGGCATCACACAAGCTAAGGAATGAAACTGAACAAAACTAGGACTTGCATCTGGTAGAACTGTAAAGGATTCGGATTTGAAACAATGACAAAATGTCTGAACCTTTCTGGAAGGGACAAAGAGGATAGAGAGAGAATAAAATCAGCGAAGAGAGCAGTCCACAGGGGAAGGGACTGGAAAGGCTGAGCTACCCCCTCTCCTGCTCAGCTCCCTGCTCCCCCAACCTACAGACCCATGACAAAGAGTGAGCAGCCAGTGCCCACGAGGCTTCCTCCTGGGGCCAGCTCCCGAAACCACGAAACCACGGCTGGGCTGGTCGATCCCCTCTGGGCTAGAAAGAGACTGTTCTCAGACCTGTTTCTTGTAGAGCATTTTTCCCAGGTGGAGAGGAGAAATGGGAGATGTTTAAGGTCACGTAGGGGACAAAGTGAGTTGACTCAGAGGCAACAAGAAGGTTAGCATATTCTGCCCTTCTGGAGTTTATTTAAAATACACTTTTCAGGCACAGACTGGTCTGTTACTGTCTTTGTGTTGTACAGTGGCTTCCAGACAAATGTAGAATGGGACTTACTTAAAATATAGGTATAATTTATTATTACATGTGAACCCACCCCAAAAGTTAATATGCAAATGGAACGTAATAGTGTCATAAATATATTCTTACCTACTTTTGAAATACTCTTTCTCAAGTCCCTAGGAAACAGGTTTGCACCATCAAACCAGCAATTCAGCAATGCTGACTGAGTATCTGAGCGCATCCCTGTGCGTACTCTGTGGGGATCCTACAAGGACATTTTCCATTCACTCTGTACCTGAAAAGTCTCTGACTGTATATTTTATTCTATTTCAGTCTCTTGACAACTTCAGACTCAAGGACTCCTGTGTAATCAGCAAGATCTTTAATCCCTCCTCACCACCCACACCAACCTCCCCTCTAATACAGGTGATGCTCCGAGCCTGACACGGGTTGAGGGTGGGAGTGGGGGGCATGCTCAGTGACAAAGGAGGAAAGGGTAGGGAGCAGCAAGACCAAGTCAGCAGGAACAGAGGGAAGAGCCTGGATGAGGCACACACAGATGATGAACACCTGGGGGAGAAGGGCTTCTGAAAGCAACTCTATACAGTACAATCTAGTTCTAAGATAAAAACCAGGAAAGAATGAAACTTCCAGTCACACCCCCCTCCCCCCCCCCGCAAGAATCCTAACAGTAGCTCCCATTTAAAGGGACAGGGATCTTGTAGATAATTACTCTTAAGTCAAACATCCAGGCACTGGATGGAACTCTCTAGGTTCACATCCTGGCTCTAGCATTTGCTGACTGTAGCAAACTACATATGTGTGCCTAGTTCCAGTTCCTCCATTAAAAAAAAAAAAAGGATTATCAGGGATATTTTGCAGGGTGGTGGTAAAAATTAGAAAGCATGATATAATGCTCATATGCCAAAGGTCTGCACAAAACAATATTCTACCAATTAGAGCTATAAAACTTTAGGTTAGAAAAGAATATATGTGGTTACTGTTGATATGCAATCAAAAATTGAAATTAAGTTGATGGCATAGTTTTAAATTATAACAAGTAAGTACCAGCTGAAATGAGCAACATTTATTAAATAATCCACCCTCTGATAATCTGGGCTCCCAGAGAAAAAGGAGATAAATTCAGATAAAATCTAGCACTGTTCTGCCAGCTCTGTTCTGTAAATCCTATCTCCATTTTCACACCTCTACTACCCTCACTTATGTTTCCGCTTAATAGCACCCCTATTCTCTTGAGCAAGAGGGAAAATTCTGTCATTTTCGTTCTTAATGGAAGCCTGACATCTGCAGACTACCTGTGCCATTCCCCTGGACCACTGGCCAAATCCTAAAATGTAGCTTAAACATTTGTGAAGAAAGTCTACCTCTGTAAAAGTAAGTATACCTGCTAAGAAGTCTATCTTTAGCAATTTCATGCCTACGGGGCTAACTTGACACCAGAATATCCTATAAACTAAATGACCTTTTGTAGTCAGAAAACGTATTATCTAAACAAGCTGTTTGCTTCCCTCCAGTATAATTCTGAATAAGAGGAAGAGAGCTCCTTCTGAAATCCAATATTCAAGTGAAACAGAAAGGATCCTCCTGTTAAAAGGTACATGGGAGGTACAGGAAACAGCCCATGGAGGGGGCTGTGAGCTGATTAACAGAAGCTATGAATTAATTCTTCAGTACCAACAATTTAGAAAAGAGGAATGTGGATTTACAGTGTCTTGACCTAGAACTAGCATTGCTCATCATAAGGCTCTCTGCAGACTTTTAAGGCAACCAGTTACGCAGCTTCTGAATTAATTTTGTAGTTTATTTGAAGTATCATAGAAATAACTACTAGAGGTTTTAGTTATACACAAATACTAAGGAATTTTCTTGAATGAAGACATTTTAAATTGGGGTGCACATTTTGAACCCCATTAGCTCAAACTCAAAGTCAAACAAAAGCAAGGAAATAAACTCACTTGTCAAACTCATCAAAGAGATCACAACTCTGCAGTTTTGAAAGAGCAAGTCGAAAATATTCCGCTAGAAAACAAATGGAATATTATAAATAAAAGGAATCATGGCTTCTTAGGTACATAGTAAGCCATCTGCCCCCTTCCCTCCCCCAAACCCATTTCAAACTGGTACAGCCCCATGGATTTATTCCATGGTGAAATTAATGATACAACTGCAATTAGCCAGCACCACTCAATAGGCACACTCCAAGGACACTTTACAAAAACTCCAGAAAAGAGAAAAAAAAAGATGCTTAATCTGAAAACAATCATAAAAAAGTAACCCCCAAAATATCAACATCAGATGACATTAGTAGAGAATATAGCCTTTCAAACTGACATTAGTCTAAAAACCAATTTTCAGTAAATTTAGATGTATTATCAAATTCTCTGCAATATGTTTTTAAAACATATACACACACATACATACAATACACAAGCACAAAACAGGATCAGTTGAATATGCAAAATCTAACTAAGAAAACTGTAAGCTTATCACCTCCTGGGCTTTCAGGGTCTCTCCCAAAACTACAACGTAAAGCTACATAAAGCCAGTTCATGTGTCAATAAGCAAAGAGAAGACTATTCTGTCATTAGTAGATAGAGTGATTCTCTCTCAATTTGGCAATAGTGAAATACCTGCTTGTTAAAAGGTTGATCAAGGAGCTAGGTCTTAAATTGATGAAATAAAATAAAACTCAGAGGTAAAGAGGCGAAAAGGGGAGCTGGGGAGGACGTTAACCCAACCCACAGGGTATCCTGCTAATTCTACATTGGAATAAACTAAGGCATCAGAACGCATGAATAATACCATGGCTAAACCAAAGTAAAAAAGCAGTTTCTCAATAAAAACAACAAATCTACCATTTTATTCTTAAATTCTACACTGCCTCAAAAAGGAGTAGGGATTTCTATATTGAAATTTAACTTCCTTCATCCCATCTCCAAATCATTTTCTTTAGGAATCATTATGACACATAAAGATTAAAAGGCCCTAAAATTATATAAACATGTGGTTCACATCAAACACCATTCACATTAATAGGGTTAGGTAAAGGATAATATTACTGACCTGATGTTCTTATCCCATAGGGCAAATCAAACTTATCGCTACCATACAAGGAAGCAATCTTTTTAAAATCAGCTGCACACAGAAAAGGGTGAAACTGATGAAACCTGTGGGAAAAGGAAGAAGAGTGATTTCCCCAAATGCCTACCATATCTGCAGCCTTCTAAAATCACAGCTGAAATTAACTGCAGTAGAGTACACATCTTGATATACTGACTATATGAACGTGTAATTGTTTTTTTAATTCTTTAAAAATCACTACATGAACGTGTCATTGTTTTTTTAATTCTTTAAAAATCACCTAAAACAGTATTTAAGTATTATATAGAATGGGATATGCAATGCAACTACACAACCGGAACGTAAACACTTTCCAGGTTGTGGAACCAAAATTACGTCACAGCTTCAGGGGCTAACGAGGGGGGATCAAAATTTAAAACAAACCAACACCAAGTGATAACATGTTAGCCATCTGCAGGAAGAGACAAAGGAGGCAGTAAGGGAAAATAAAAGCATGGATGCTAAGCCACTCTCAAATTTAAAAATACCGTGTGTACAAAGTTGTGTCAGCTGTGAAAATAAAAATATAACAAAAATTCGACGCGCCGAGGATTAAACTCTTTTCTGATATCATTAAGACTTTCTCAAGAACAAGAACTGTGGGCACTGTCTTCCTATCATCTGCTCTGTCCTGCCCTGCTAACCCCACTCAGGTACTCTCACAGACAAGAGAGCCAGTTTGAGGAGGGTGGGATGTGCTTCCATTCCCCACCTCTCCTCACTTTTAGCACCCAGCATGGAGTAAGCAGGCTACATATGGTTAATAAATGATTGAATGAATTTCAACTCCATGTTACTTCTTCACGGAACCAGTATGACGTAGAAAACAAAGTTTTTTTAATTAAAAAGAAGGAACAAGTCAAACTAGTCCATACTTCATCCCCCACACTTGGCTCCACTTTTCCAGTCCTAGCAGCGCTGCCCTTAGTCTAAAAACTGCAGGTGCAGATCACAGTGCCCTGGGGCTTCAGGGGCTGCATGACAAAGAGGAAATAAACAGCCGTGGGATAGGGGTGACATAGCTTCAGTTTCCTTCTGGCTTTGCCACTCAGGAGCCACTAACCTGGGACAAGTCCCATGAGCTTAACGTTTTCAGAGCGGAGTTAGAACTCACACCATATTCAGACTAAGGAACAGGTGAGGATGAGCCCTTCCTGCTTGACACAGGATCTGTGCCCCAGACTTAGTTGTGACAGTGTTAGCAGTCTCGAGGGTCCAGCCTTATTTATACATGTTGGGTTCCAAGGTAAAACGTATTTATCCCCGGTGTAGACTGGGTTCCAAAGTAAAGTGTATTTCTTACTATGGGTCATGGTCAAAAAAGTTTAAAGCCACTAGTTTTGCAGTGGTCCTAACTGGACACACCGCTATGGAAAGACTACAAGTAGTCATGCATACCTGTGATCATATGCAGAAATGTTTTATGTACCTGCAGTTTCCTAGAGAGTTGATTTTAAAGGAATCTACAGCCCCAAGAGGTTAAGAACCAGTAATGAAAAGGTACAGTAACATAATTAAAAGAAAACAGACATTTTTGATCTCAAATGGGTAAAATATTGAAAAGCCTGTACCTGTTTTACACAATTAAAATGACCAGACTGTCATTTATTTCTCTTTCTCTAGAAGCACTTTGACCAGCAATCTGTCAAAGTTGAGGTGACGGAGGAAAAGAATATTTGTGGCTATTCTACAAGTCCTAAGTAAAGATCATTATTTACATTCCAAGTATTTCACTGAAAGTCCCTCCAAGTCAGGAAAAAGGTCTCATCATAAAGTTTAACCTAGAGGCAAGGGACAAACAGCCACAAAATAGTAAGGGTGGAAAATAACGTGGAAACAACAAAGTGGGGGTAGTAAAACCCTGAAGAATAGTTCACTTTTTTATAATCAAACACAACTCGGCCTCTCTAATCTCACCTATGTAAAAAGAATACTGGTCTGATGGACTTCTTCAATGCCTTTGCTAAAAATATATGCAGAACTCTGACTAAAGCACAAAAAGAGACAGGATATTCAAGCTCTTCCTTAAATACAGAGTGATGTGTTAGGTTAGGAGTGTCATTCTACTGCTAAGATTCATACGGGAAAAAAAACTAAACAGGTGTGAGATACGATTACAAACACATTTTGAACATTTTGTATGTCACAATTTCTTTTAGATTTTTACCTCAGGAGAGAGGCAAAAGCTGGCTTCGATAAACAAGGCTGGATCTTATTTCTCCGCTTCATTTCCGCAGGTGGTACCCTATGAGACAAAAATAGGGTCAGTCAGAAACCAGAACCAGGCAGCCCGCCCAAAGGAAAGCGAATGCCCTGGGAATCGGCTCAGTGCCACCACCCAGAGGCTTCCCAGGCATGGAATTAACAGCTCTCACAGAAGCTCTTGAGGGAGGACAGGACCTTGCATGGGTTTGAGGATGCATGGATACAAGGCAAGAGAGTGAGAAAGGCTGAGGTGACAAGCAACCCAGAAGTAATTCAACAAGCAGTGAACAAAGAGCCTTCAAGAAGGGCTAGGATTACCACACTGTGGAGGCCCCAAGCAGGCTGACTTTTTAGAAGTACCCCCCCGCCGCCCCCGCCCACCCAGAGCCTGAGGAACCCAACACACGCCCGTGCACATGGCTATCTCGGTCCTCCATGCCACATCTGGGGACACCTACCACAGAAACACAGACCTGCAGATGCAGCCTTGTGATCTGGCCTCCACAAATCACACTATTCAGAGTCCTATGGAACTCTCCTCTATTCTTGGCACAGGTTAGGCCCTTCTGGGTCTCCTGAATGGAGTGCTTGTCTCCACAATTTAAAAGGGTATTGTGAAACAAGACAAAGCACGAAAACAAGAATAAGCGAAGGGGACAGGGTGACAGGATCCAAATTTAACCAGCTTCATAACTGCTTAACAGAAGAACATGTTAATGATCAATGATATGAGGAACTCATCTTAAAAAACTAATCCATTTTCTTATATAATCACAGGACTCAAACTAAAAGTATTGGTCTCAATTTTCAATGTTTTGTTAAAAAATCCCCATAGTTGGAACTGCTAGGTTTCTAAACGACAAAGCTAGTGAAGTCCTTATCAGAGAAACACCTTCTGTGAGTACCACAAATGGCAAGAATCCCTTGATTTATAGGTATGGAAGGTACATAAATGTGGTGGACCAGCATATTAGACCATAAAAACCAAATTATATTCAGAGGACAAAATGAAGTGTAAGATACATTTCTTGGTTTCTAAGGTTATTCAAACAGAAAACCTTTTAGGATATTGAGAAGACAAGCTTTGAGTGGCTTTAAAAAGTTATCTGTCTTAAATAATTCTTAAGCAATTAGGTTCACAGCACAAAACCCACCCGAGGTAATTTCCCACGGTACTCTGTATGACTGGAGTGGTGTGTTAGCTTAGGAGTGTCATAAACATTCATCAAAGCCTGATGACAAAAGACTGTGTAGAATTCAGATTCTTTACATTGTCTTCCTTATCATTTCCCTTGTGACACACAACAGGATTTGTAGGGAAGTAGCAATCTAGTAAACTCCTTGCTTTCTCTTCTGTTCTTGTCTTCCGTTACTAAGTGTGGTACAGAGACAGGACGCAGCAAAGACAGAAGGAGAGATCCCCATGGTATAACCCTCGTGTAGTGTGTAGTCAAACTTCTAAGTCCTCTAGCTCATTATTTAAGTCCAAAGCCTAGAAACTTAGGTCCAAACCTACCCACCTGGCATTGGGTTTTCCCAGTGACCATTTGCCTAACTTCCTTCCATGAAGAGTATTACAATAATTTTTCAATCAACCAGTGGTGAAATAACTCAGAAGCATCAATATTTTTTATCTAGTAGGATCAAAAAAACCAAAACAAAACCCAGAGACGTGATCTAGGATTTCCTATTGAAAAACTGGCAAAGAGTACTGATAGTTTAAGACAGGAAATTATCATGTGATTTATTTTGGTATCATATACTACCATCTACTCAGGATTTAAGGGTCATCAAAACTTTATTCCTAGCCAAAGGACTGGCAATAGGGAAAAGGATAAAAAGCTTATAAGTTTTCTCTGCAATAAAACTACCTGTGCCTCTTCAAAGTTTTATATGTGACATTTTAAGTCAACATGGTTTCATAATGTACATCTATCATCATTCACCAAATATTTTTAAACAAAGAGAGTCTATACTTTAATCAGCAATCTCTTATCCAAGCATTTTAGGCTCAACAGTCAAGTACAACGGAGTCCAAGAATGACGCCATCAATTCAAGGAAAGGAAATATTATATGATTGTCCCAAAGACAATCAACATCACTGCTTCACTGAAAAGTCAATAAAAAGAAGGTGCTATTTTATCAGTTTTAAACTGTTAGAGTACAACATGGAAGCTATCAGAATGGTAAAACCCCAACTGATAATGGAAAGCTAGAAAAGGCTCAAAATGTTAAAAGAGGTGGTTTTTTGTTTGTTTTATAGGTCTCTCTAGGATCATTTGTGTGTCTCTGCGAAAGACTAGTTTGGGAATTATTTTTAAAGAGCAAAAATGATAGGGTGCCTGGGTGGCTCAGTCAGTTAAGCGTCTGGCTCTTGGTTTCAACTCGGGTCATGATCTCAGGGCTGTGAGATTGAGCCCTGAGTCACGCTCAGTGCTGAGTGCAGAGTCTGCTTGAGGTTCTCTCCCTCTGTCCCTCCTCCCATCCCGCTCTCTCTTTCTCAAATAAATAAATTCCTTAAAAAAAATAATAAAGAGCCAAAACGAAACTTACCAGTAGATGTTTGTTCCCCATAATATACAATGCAGCACATAATAGAGAAAGACAGCACTCAGGAATATGGCCACAAGGTACCCTCTCATGGCTGGCCCACCTGAAACACAGGAATGAAGTCCCAAGAAAAGGCAATATTATCTGTTCTATAGATGGGTTCACACAAAGACTCAAATACAAGATTAGTGAACAAACATATAGAGAGGGAAAGAGAAGTAAAATGATGTAGGCCTATTATTTTTGGAAATACCCACTAAATTTGCAGGAAAAGAGTATTTTTTTCCTATCTCTCCTCAGCCTCTTTAGTCAATATAACATGGTAGGTAGACCAATAAACAGTACCATTGTTTCAAAGCTGGTGGCTTCCATACTACTTTTTCATGTTAGAGAAGTACCCATTTGATTTTTCAGTATCATAGCACAGGTAAATTTAGCTAATTTCTTCCTTATTTTTGCACTACACAGACAGTTTGGTCCATTATACACTGTAGATAGATAAAAACCTGGACACAATCCTCTTTAGAATATAAATTTAAAAATCCTTTATAGGATATATATTTTTTAAAAACCTAACCATATTTAGTTCTCACTTTTGCTTCCTAGAAATAAGTTCTCACTTCCACATGCAATTCAATGCAAAAGACAAATTTAATATATTATATGGTTCTTATAAGAGATTTCAGTGCTTGTGATTTGAAACAAGTAAGCTATCTCTTTGCCTCTCTTATCAAGTTTCTGACTCATCTAGACAGTTGCACATACCACTGCTCCCACTCCTGTTCATATCTATTAATCTCAGTCGGGGCAACGCAGTGTAGACGCTGTGAGTCTGAGGAGATACATTTCCAAATAATATCATGCTGTCTCCCTTTTAACAGTAAAATAAGGCCAAATGGAACTCTTAAAATAAGGCACTCCTTTGCCTTCATAAGTAGAATATAATAAACATAATTTAAGCTTTCCTTGATAATGTGGGGTCATAATTGTGCTGGGCTCCTCTGGAACCAAGAAGGGTGTGGGACTGTTGGCTAAGCAAAAGTCGTTATGCAGTGGAGATCGCTGGTTTCCCTTCCCTGGCTCTCGGCCGCTGCTTCTCACTGCTATGCAGGTAGCCACCGTGCCCACATGCCATTATTGTAAGGTAGTCAGAAATGCTTGTGTAAGGAGAAAGCAAACAGAGGGGGTAAATGAGCTAAACTGACACATCTACCTTAGTACACATAGTTCCTGTGAAAAGTCAACACTGCTTGGCAATCAGAAGACAGGAATCATGGCCCAGCTCCACATAATTCCTGGCTTGGGGTGGGGGGTGGTGCCTTAGATAAATCAGTTTACCTCTTCCAACGCGAGTATCCTTGCATGTTTACAAGTGAGAGCACACAACCTACCTCTTTGAGCTATTAGGTAGATGACCCCAAATGATGGGTGTCTCAGACAACCTAGGACACAAAATATGTGAATAAGTTTGTGCATTTTACTGTTGTGGGTTTTCTGAAACTGAAGTCAGCTGTGCTCTTTTTCTAAGTTGTAATATGCATGGGTTTTGAGAAAGCCAAAGTGAGCCTTGGTCTACCCTGACTCAGCCTACACTGCATTCTTACTGGCCTAACAGAAGGAGGTAGTTGCATGTGGTTTTGGCAGAAAGCCCACATCCTCTGACGGCAAAGGGAGTAAAGCATGTAAAGAACATCTAGATCTGCTGCTTCCATCCCCTCAGGCCTGTGCATCTCTTTCCACTTTGTTTCGTCTTCCTCATGCATTTGTAATGTATGCTATCTTGATGTATTGTGGGTTATTTTAAAAAATCACCTTAAATTCTTCATGGTAAAAAGCAGGAAATGCATGATTATAGGTAGGTTAAAAAAAAAAGGTATGGCGAGCTTTGGAGGCGGAGAGTGAAAATGGCGGCCTCCCAATCTCCGCCCCGGAGGAGCCGAGAACTCGGGGCCCTGCTCCTCAGTGAGCCCCCACAGAAAAGCCGTCAGTCACTCCC